CCCCAGGTTGGGCGTCTGTCTTTGCTTTTCCTTTGCGGTTTAAACAGCAGTTTGAAACGTCTGAAAGCGGCTTCACTGCAGCCGACAGGCAGGAAACATTTCTACTTCTCCAGACCAACGTCTAGATGGGAATAATTATTCATATGTCAGAAAGATTATTTCTATTATTATTGACGCCTGCAGTAGAAACAATGACTTCACTAATCAGATGCTTTCAGGCATGCTTTAGGAACATTATGACTGTAAAAGAAGGCAAACCTTTAGGTCCCTCTGTTACATTTTAAAATAAGTTTAAATTTAAATGGTGAGAAAACGACACAGTGAGGCTCAATCAAAACTAAACTTCTCCATTAAAGTTATTCTAAAAAAGTTAAAATCAATCCACTGGACTTTGTTTCCAAGTTTGAAGACGTTTCTCTTCCTTCCAGGATGATTTTTCAGTTCCAAATGTCAGAAACAGCGTTTAGTTCCAGGTTTACAGAGCGGACCAAAAACAAAGTGGTTTTTTTGTTTAGAGAAGATGCAAAAGTCTTCCTGGATGGGAAGCAAATCGTCTTCAAACTTGGAAACAAAGTCCTGTGGTTTATTTTTTAACTTTTTTGGAAAGAATATGACCTGAATGACTGAGAACGTTCACCAGCATGTCACCATTAAAGGTTAACAAACACATGTAGACTGACCAGTTCAGTCTACAATGATCCCACTGCAGCAACTGCAAAATAATAGACTTTCTAAATAAACCAGAGAAATCGTCTCCATGAAGCCAAAGCTGATCAACAGACATATTTATATGTCCTAATTATTGCTGCATCTAACCATCATTTTGCAAATCAATTAATCTGTTGATTATATTTTCCATTAATAATTGCGTAGCAGAGTTTCCTTAAAGAAGACTTTTTACAAATTAAAACAAGATGAAACTAAAATGTCTCCACTTTAGGAGGATAGAGCATATTGACAGTGAAAATATTCATTTTACTGCTCTAAGTGATTCGCTCCGTCAGCTAAAGGCACATTTTAGTCTCTATACTCCAGTTAACGATGAATCAATACTAAATTATTTATATTAATTAATCTGAAGGTTTCAGTCCTAATTAATTAGCTGTGCTTCTGCATAATGAAAACATTAAATAGGTTTAGCCGAGGTTCTTTATCTCTAATCTAATAGATTATTTGAAAAGTTCAGAGATTTAGAACTTTTTTCTTCAACATAAAGAACAAAACTCAGATCTGAAAAGATCAAAGTTCTGCTCGTCTTATTTTAATGCTGATAATTAAGAAACTAGAGTCAATTTGTTGTCGGTTTATGTTTAATATAACAAGAAGTAAAAAGTCTGTGGAGCTAGTTTATACAGCGCTGAAGAATGTTGCTATAGAAACAACCTGCTTGGGGGGGCCAATGATGCCCCCTTCTAGCTCCGCCCCTGTATCTTAGACGGTTAAAGTTATGCTAGAAGGGGAACGGGGAAGGGGAAGAACGGGAAACATTGGAATGCATCAGGAGGTGAACCTAAACGCCATAAAGCTCTGCTTGGTGCGATGGCTGCCAGCGCCATCGCTGCAGCTCCAGCGCAGCGGCTCTGCTTACAGCGGCTCCTCTGCTGCTTCCTCTGAAGGAACTAATGAGCAGAGACGGTACGGGGGGGCCCCGCTTCTTGCGCCAGAGTGACATTTCATCAGCTCACAATAAGAGCACACCTGCCTCACAGAGACGCCGACGTCTGCCAATGGCTGGGCTCCTGTGACGCGGCGTCAGGGGAGCAGAGGAAGAAGAAAAAGGAAAGTCTGATTGAGTTTTTACTGCAGTTCAGAGAAAGTGGAGGCAGAGAAGAAGAGAAATGATGACATAGAGGGGAAAAACCTCAGCGCCGTGGCGGTAAAGCACCTACTGGAGGAAAGCTCTCGCTTTGACTCCCACCATCATCAGGAGAACCCAGATGAGCGCCGCGGGGCTGCTGGGCTGAAAACCCCCCAGAAGGGAAGGATGTGGCATCATGTGTCTGCAGAGGAGAAGTGAAACCGCCCCTGATTGGCCGGATCCATTCAGAGGTTCTGATGAAGTCATCCCGGGCCGGGTCATAGCGACCGCAGCGCTACTCACAGTCATTCTAATGCGCTCGTTGCTAAGCAGCGCGAGGGACGAGGAAGCAGGAGAAAAGACAGATGTGTCGATTAGCAACGTCGCTAAGAATACCAGCCGTGATCCAGATGGACGTTCTCCCAGAACCCCACGCTCCATCAAAAATAAACACCTCCTGGACATAATCCAGGTGTTTCCGAGCACAGAAGGCGTAGCTGCTAATGCTAACTGCTCAGGGCTAACAACCACTGCAGCCATCGCTCCATCTTTACAGACGATGGCTGCAATCTGGCAGCAACAATCAAATCTAGAAGCTAAACGTTCTGATCTGTGGAAGAGACCGAAAAACACTCTTCAGTGTGAGAGACGACACTGAAGGAAGAGGGTATCCCGTTTGCTAATCATTAGCGTCCCGTTTGCTAATCATTAGCCTGATTAGCGTCCCGTTTGCTAATCATTAGCCTGATTAGCGTCCAGTTTGCTAATCATTAGCCTGATTAGCGTCCCGTTTGCTAATCATTAGCCTGATTAGCGTCCAGTTTGCTAATCATTAGCCTGATTAGCGTCCCGTTTGCTAATCATTAGCCTGATTAGCGTCCAGTTTGCTAATCATTAGCCTGATTAGCATCCAGTTTGCTAATCATTAGCCTGATTAGCATCCAGTTTGCTAATCATTAGCCTGATTAGCGTCCAGTTTGCTAATCATTAGCCTGATTAGCATCCAGTTTGCTAATCATTAGCCTGATTAGCATCCAGTTTGCTAATCATTAGCCTGATTAGCGTCCAGTTTGCTAATCATTAGCCTGATTAAAGCCCAGCTTGCTAATCATTAGCCTGATTAGCATCCAGTTTGCTAATCATTAGCCTGATTAGCATCGAGCTTGCTGATCATTAGCCTGATTAGCGTCCAGTTTGCTAATCATTAGCCTGATTAGCATCCAGTTTGCTAATCATTAGCCTGATTAGCATCCAGTTTGCTAATCATTAGCCTGATTAGCATCCAGTTTGCTAATCATTAGCCTGATTAGCATCCAGTTTGCTAATCATTAGCCTGATTAGCGTCCAGTGTGCTAATCATTAGCCTGATTAGCATCCAGTTTGCTAATCATTAGCCTGATTAGCGTCCAGTGTGCTAATCATTAGCCTGATTAGCGTCCAGTTTGCTAATCATTAGCCTGATTAGCATCCAGTTTGCTAATCATTAGCCTGATTAGCGTCCAGCTTGCTAATCAATAGCCTGATTACCATCCAGTTTGCTAATCATTAGCCTGATTAAAGCCCAGCTTGCTAATCCTTAGCCTGATTAGCATCCAGTTTGCTAATCATTAGCCTGATTAGCATCGAGCTTGCTGATCCTTAGCCTGATTAGCATCCAGCTTGCTAATCATTAGCCTGATTAGCGTCCAGTGTGCTAATCATTAGCCTGATTAGCATCCAGTTTGCTAATCATTAGCCTGATTAGCATCCAGTTTGCTAATCATTAGCCTGATTAGCGTCCAGCTTGCTAATCAATAGCCTGATTACCATCCAGTTTGCTAATCATTAGCCTGATTAAAGCCCAGCTTGCTAATCCTTAGCCTGATTAGCATCCAGTTTGCTAATCATTAGCCTGATTAGCATCGAGCTTGCTGATCCTTAGCCTGATTAGCATCCAGCTTGCTAATCATTAGCCTGATTAGCATCCCGTTTGGTGGTAGCAGGAAGAGGGTGACCTTTCCAAACCACTGATTCCCAAAGGATAAATATTTGTGTGAAAGTGCTTCCAGATATCAGCAGCATTTAGAAACGGACCAAATCGGTTTGTAATATTATGACGTTCTGGTTCATTGATTCTGTGGAAATGTTTGGAAACTCAACATCAACCGACCCTTGAACCGTTTGGTGGATCAGAAGCTGAAAAGTTTGGGAATCTCTGATCTGATGTGATCTGGCTTCACGCCGCGTCTGTGACAGACAGCTAATGGTCCAGATGGCTAATCGCTAATGGCTAACGGAACTTGCTGGACGGGTCAGAATCTGATCAAACTGTCACAGAAAACTACAGGTCAGAGGTCAGTCAGATCCGTTCTGATGAGGAAGATGGATCCAGATCCACTAAACCCATGATGATGATGATGACGGTGACCATGAACATCATGTTCTCACAGCAGTTGGGGGGAGGCGGTGGAATGGTTTCCTGTCAGCAGAGTTTTTATTTCAGCATCAAACACCGAGACGGTTTGGAGTGCGCCACTCTGTGCTTTAAGGTTTGCCTCTGGTTTCCATGGAAACAACCTTCGACCTGTTGTTCTCCAGCAGAGGCCGACTATAAACGGCCCCTCCCCTGCTGCTCTATATCATAAAATCAGATGAACGGGACAAAGAAAGCAGCTGACCCAGCCGAGGTGAGCTGGGAGCAAAGAAAACAAAGGACTGTCTGTGAAGCCTGGACGCCATCCTTCGCCCCCCCCCCCACCGTGGACTCAGCCCACTGAGCGCCCAGCTGCTGATCAATCAGCTCCTGGCTCAAACAGCTGCTGACCGCTCTGTACTGGGCCCGAACCCAGACGGTTCCGTGTGCTGACTCCAGCAATACGCTCCGCTCAGGAACGCTGACAGCAGCATCACAGCTGGCTGACAAACAGAGCGAGCAGAACGGCGCCAATGCACGCCGCGCCGCTGGACGCAGCGAGAAGCTCATCCAGTTCACTCTGAACAGATCAAAACATTTATCGTTTGGACTGAACCCAGCGTCTCTGTCTGTCTGACCTTTGACCTGCGGTTCTAGGGACGCTCCAGTAGAGCAGCGGATCATCAGAGGATCTGCGGCCGTTCTGAATAATCACAGAAACGGGTTCCAGCCTTCATCCTTCAGACCATCATGGAAACAGAACAGAACTTTCCCACAGAAGCGACAGAACCGAGCCTTTCTGAGACTCACCCATCCTCCTTGGCTCTGGATCCAGGGATCGATCTGCTCATCCAGGTAGACGGTCATCCACTCCACGATCCGCCCCACCAGGGGACTCATCTCCTTCTCCACGCATTCCACGCACAGCGCTCCGCCGAAGGCGAACAGGCCCACGATGCGGCCCCAGTTGACGCCGTCCCGGAACACCTCGTTCATCACGTTCTCGAAGCTCTGGTAGGCGGTGGCCGGCGTGATGTGCAGCGTGCTGTGAAGGTCGTTGAAGGCGCGGGAGTAGCGCAGCTCGAACTCGCAGGCCGTGTCTCTCAGCGCCGCCTTCACCGCCTCCATGGCGGCTGTGGACGCCTGCTGTCGCCGCGGGGAGCCTGGACTGGTCCCGTTAAAAGTCCCGTTAGCGTGCGTCTCCGGCGTACGCTCGTCGTCCTGGTCCGCCCCCTGGGCGCCGGTGCCGTTGGGCGGCTCGTTAAGCATTATGTGGTTGACGGGATAGTTCCTCTGAGACAGTTTGAACTTAATGTAGAAAAGGACCAGTTCTCTGTTCTGAGACATCCTGGCTGTGATGCGTTCCTCTGTCTTTGCTCTGGTTGGTCAGGCCCAAACACTCCAGGGGGGGGGGGGTTCTTCCTGACGTTCCTCTGTCTAGACCAGCATGGCCCGCCGGCCGGCCGCCGCTTGGAGGAGAAACGGAAGGCTGACAGCTCAGGCCCTGCGGGAAAACAACAGGAGAAGGTCAAAGAGGGGGGGGCATGAGGACAGCCATGTAGTCCAAACTGAGTCTGGACAGGTGGGGTCAAAGGGCGGCTCTCTGATTGGCCTGCCGCGCACGCAGCAGATGGTAACGAGGAGTGAGGAAGGCGGCTCATCCTTATCACCGACTTCCGGTTCGAGCCCGGCTCCACGCAGCCTCTGGGACGGGTTCAGGCCCGTCACCATGACAACGCTGCTGGACCAGAAATGATGGCGACGAGGAAACAAAGTGTCGTCGGTCTGGGTCACCGATCCACAGAAACCATGGCAACCACAATTTATCAAACAGGTAACATCAATCATGCGATTAATGGATTGTTGTGACAGGTTAGCCCCTCCCACTGCCCATATTTATTAAACCAGATGTTGTGGAAATAAATCAGATACTCGCAGCATCTCTCCTGTAAACAGATGTTCTGAGCAGAAGCTAAAAGCAAACAGCTTCGTCTGACGCTTGCTGGGATCAAGGTTCCACATTTAGAAAGTGAAACAAAGACAGAAATCCCCGATCAGTTTCTATGATCGATGATTTCTGCTCCCACGGAAAGAGTTGCTGCTTTGTTTGGTTTCAGCTTCATGTCTGAACAAAAGCCTGAACGCCACATCCGATCTTTATCGTCCGATCTTTATCATCCGATCTTTATCACCCTCAGAACTCGGGTTCTGGATTTCATGGCAAACCCTGGAAACAAAAACAATGTTTTGGTTTTCTTTCCTTAATTAAAGGAATTAAAGCGGTAAACAGAAGCTCTGCTACTCAAACATATGGAAACGAGCACTGATGTAATCCCTGCTGTAGGAGGAGGCAACCGTACTTTACATTCCCCTCCGATGGTTTAGCTGAATGACACGACTACAGCGTGGAACAATAAATAAATCAGTGCAGTGGATCCTCGCCACACAGGAGCGACGACCATCCTGACGCGTCTCCTGGGAATCATGGGAGATGAGATCTCCTTTACGGGGGCTGGCATTTAGGGCCGATAAGGAGCCCGTTAATGACGGGATCAGAGCGTGGGATGGGAACCATGCGAACGCTCCTCACACCTCCCTCTGTGAGGTCAGACGCTCCCACCCAAGGCAGCGGGACCAATAAAGACCAGAGTCCTCCTGCTGGGCCATGAAGCTCATCCTGAACTCCAGACCACAGCCAGCAGAGCCGTGTTTACAGCAGCCACATGGTCCACAGCTGCCAACACGTGGAGGGGGGGTCAGCAGAGGAAAACATCTGTAGCTCTACCGTCCCACATCTGGGCAGATGTCCATCTATGAGGAAACCTGGACTCTAACTCTGACACAACCAGCCGAACCTTTCTGACCCCCCCCCCCCCCCCCCCCCCCCCCCCCCCCCCCCCCCCCCCCCCCCTCCAATGATCTAGATCATAGATTAAAATCCCACAGATCAGTAATCTTAATCCCTCCGGATTGGACAGAACCTTACCACAGCTGGATGAAAATAAAACGCTCCTGGTTCGCTGCTCCTCTCAGACGGTTCCGACCGCGTCTCTGCTGGCTGTAGAAGCTGTAGAAGCTGTCAGCCCCCCCCCCCCCCCCCCGCCGCCTGGTCCCTCCCCTGTTGCGCAATAGGGCGCTGAGCTGCGCAGGATCCAGGTGGGAGGGGGGGAGGAGCCACTACAGGCTGAACCGTTCTTCTGGTACCAAGATCTATAAAGTTGTCCTATCAATGACCAAAAGCCTTGCACTCATATCTCTGCATGACGTCACGTTAGCTCACGGCGGCTCATCTCTGAAGATGACTCCACCTCCGCTGGGTCATTCCCCGGCTGATGGCTAAGGAGCGCACCCAGCGTCGGTGGTCGGGGTTCGATGTAAACCCAGAATAAACATAATACTGAATATAGATTCTAAAATAGGTCGATAATAAGCCGAATAAAATTAATCAGGATGGCGGTGAGCGCGCGCTGCCGTCCATCGCTTCCGGTTTGTTAGAAGACCTCAAAGTTCAGAGAAAAAAAAAAAAACACTCATTTTTCCAGAATAAAAAATGTTTCCCAGAGTCTGATGATCGGAGGGGTCCCTGAACGCATCACAAGGCCATCCTGACTTCAAACGCAGCGAGGAGCTTTAATCACGACACGTGAAGATTAGGCCACGCAGAGACAGCCCCGTGGCAGAAACACGCAGCTTTATCCACGGCAGAAATGAAAAGTAAAAGCTTTAAAGTCTGCGGTGAGCGGCGGACAGGATCCAGGAAACATGGCTGTCATCCTCCCAGCGGAGCAGCGCGAGCCTCACAGAGGAGCAGAAGAAGAAGAAGCCGTTAGTAAGACCCGCCCACAGAAACACGTTCAAACATTCACATTAAACAACATTAATTTAACAAATGAGCTTTTATTTTCCTCCAGCTCCTCTGATTAGCAGGGAAAGCCGCCCACAGCAAACACTTCCCTTCTAACGGAATTCCCCCTGTGGAAAAACCCCACAGATATAGAATAACACGCGTGGATGAAGGGGGGGTCCTACCTGTGCGGTGCTCTCCACAGAATCATGACTTTGGGCGAACTATCCGAACCCCGGTAGGACCGCTGAAGACCCGGACCCTCATAGTTAGCCTGCTCGCTAGCTAGGAAGATTCCTGGCTCCCGGAGCCCCGCCCACCGCTCTACGTGCCACGTGACCGCAGGGGCGGAGCCACAACATTTTCCTAAGGGTGTCCAGGCGATAACCAATGCAGACTGACTCCAAGAGGACCTGCAGAGACGCATCCTTTTCTGTTTACCCCATAACACAAAATCTAGTTCTGAAAAGTGGATACATTCAATAATTATCCTCTTTATTGTTATTATATGGATTAGCATCATTAACCAGTAGGGCTGGCTATTTTTGCCAAAGTCCTGAATCGATTGGATTTTGATTCATACAGTTCAAAATACTCATATATTTGTTTTTTCCTGTCACATTTAACACAAAGTGCAAACTTGTAAATCAGACAGTTTAAACATAAGATGTTAAAACTGCCTCAAAAGTGCAAATTTGTTTGTGAAAAGTGAAAAAGTGAAGCCTCACTCGAGCAAGCAGACGTGACACAGCAGACATGCAGGAGCTGCATTATCTCCACTGAACAACCCGTATGTGCAGCGCTGTCTGTAACTACAGGGTGTTTGCTGCTCAGCCTCCATTCCTTAATGTCTGCAGTCAACCTATTGGCTTTATTTGCAGCTGTCTGAACTCATCTTTAGTGCATCTTTCCTGCTTAGTTGAATGTGAACATCTCGTGGGTCACTAATTAATCGATCTCATTCCCTAGACATCGATTTTGCAAAAATGTAAAGGAATCGATTCAAAATCGATTAGATTTTTTTACCCAGCCCTATTAGCCACAGTGTTTTTGTTGTCAATTTGTTAATATATGAAAAATGTAAATGTTTTGAATATACAACTGTAGAGACCAAAGTGGTCCTATAGTCACTCTATTAAAGATGGAGTAATGTAACTAAAGTAATCCCTCCCTGGGATTATTAAAGTATTTCTGCTTCCTGGTTGATGGGACAGGTGTTGTGAATGAAACGGTGTCCAGCTTGAAAGAGCTCCTGTGTGTCTCTGAATGTGAGCATTGATGACTGAAAGACATCTTCTGCCTCCATTTATCTGTTTACTGCAGTCTGTTCAATTCATGTTAATGTGGATTTAAAGACATTTTAATTAGTGCAAAAAATTGCAGGAGGGAATATAAAAAAAGTCTAATCAACTAAAACTTTAGTGACCTCCATGCAGTACCTCCGTGGACCCCCTAGGGGACGCGGACCCCCTGTTGAAGACCTCTGCTGTAGAGTATTGCTGCTGCTCTATTGCAGGGAAATAAACAGTAGGGGGGGACAATGATTGGCTAAGGGTGGCCATGGCCACCCCTGGCCCCCCATCTAGCTTCGCCCCTGGGTGACCGTGCTGCGGTCAGTCACTCCAAAACAAAGACGAAATAAGTTCATCAGTTTAATGCAGTGTTTAGAATTAAAATGCTGGTAAATTTCTTTCTTCTTTGAGTAAATTCAATCTTCTTGTTCTAAAATAATGATAATCCTCTATTAATATTATTTCTGCTTCTTTTTCTTTATTATTGTTTTATGCACTTTTTATAAATGTTTTTATCCAGGTGATGGTACCTGATTGTAATGTATAATGGTTAAATAAAGTTAATCAGTGCGTTAACTGTGGCTGGAAGTAAATGTGATGATTAAAATAAACAAAGTTACATGTTGGAATAAAAAGGTTTAATTAACAGCAGAGTCATTTACTAACAGCTCAGTAACATTAGGGCTCCATGCAGCAGCTGCTGGACACCTTTCAACCTGAGGTGACAACAAAGATACTGGAGGTCTCCATGGTAACCTTTGTTACCCCCGAAAAGCCAGCGAGTCCCCAAAACACGTGGAGAACAGCGACGCCATCTGGTCACACTGGGAACAGCAGAAGTCTGACCCACACGGTTAGAAAATCCCTTTTATTTCCCCTCAGTGGGGAGATTCTGCTGTTTAAAGCAGCAACGAGATGCTAGAAAAAATGGTCACACAAATGTGGACCTTGGAAAAATATCTAAGAACATAATAGTGAAGAGTTAAAAAATAAATTACTGAACTTTAAAGTGTTTTAACGACATAAAACTGATCAGCTGGAGAATAAATAACCAATATGCAGCTATGGACATTTTCCCAGTAATGGATATTTGAAACTAGCAGCAACATCAGAGATGTGCAGAATGACAGCAGCAGGTTATTTAACTGACTAAGGTAGAAACTGAGCAGAATCAGCATGAATGGAAGAACTGGTTGAGGTTGATGGGAACAGTGGTGGTTCTAGAGTCTTCCAGCTGCTGGGAGGAAGGATCTGTGATAACGCTCCCTGGTGCATTTAGGGTGCAGCAGTCTGTCACTGAAGGAGCTGTCCAGTTCAGCACCAGCTGAACCAGCATTGGGGGGGGGGGTCTGTTTCCCACCTCCTGCACTGAGTCCAGAGGGCATCCAATCAGCTGATCCAGCCGCTTCCTCTCAGCTACAGATGAGCTGCTGCTCCAACAGACAGCTCCATAGAAGATGGCTGATGCCACAGCAGAGTCAGAGAAGGTCTTTAGGAGCCCCCCCCCCTCAGTCTCCTCAGCAGGATGAGTCTCTGACCTTTCTGATCCAGAGCCTCAGTGCTGGGAGTCCAGTCCAGTTTGTTCTTCAGGTGAACACCGAGGTACTTAGAAGAGTCCCCTACCTCAGTGTCCGTCCCTGGAGGTTCACCAGTGTCAGTGGGTGGATCTGCTCCTGTGAAAGTCCACCATTAGCTCCTTGGTTTTCCCTGCATTCATCAGAAGGCGGTTCTGCTGGAACCAGGCCACAAAGTTCTGGGTCCACTGTCTGTCCTCTGAGTCGTCTCCACCTGTGATGAGGCCAGCTATGGCAGAAAGGTCAGAGAAGGTCTGCAGGAGGCGGCGTGGGGAGCTGATGGAGTCTGCAGAGTAGAGGGTGAAGAGGAACGGTGGCAGTACTGTTCCCTGTGGGACCCCCGTACTGCAGACCAACCTATCAGAGACACAGCCCTGTGTCCTCACACACTGTGGACGGCCAGTCAGGTAGTCCAGGATCCACTGGGACATGTGCTGGTCCTCCTGACAGCTCCAGCTTGGCCCTTGGGAGTCCTGGTTGGATGGTGCTGAAAGACTTGGAGAAACCAAAGACCATGATCCTCACAGAGCTTCCAGGATTCTCTGGGTGAGTCAGAGGTTGGTGCAGGAGGAAGATGATGACATCATCTGCTCTGATCCCAGGACGGTAGAAAAACTGCAGTGGATCCAATGACGTCCTCACCAGGGGGCGTAGATGGTGGAAGACCAACTGTTCAAGGCTCTTCATCAGGTGTGAGGTCAGCGCTACCAGCCTGGAACCACAACAGGCCTTCCACAGAGGTTCTTCTCCCAGCCTCTGGCTTCAGTTGAACATGAAGCTCAAGATGCCAAACAGTTCATCTGAGAAACATCTCAGAAGCTGATGCCGTCTGGAGCTGCAACCTTTCACACATTGATCTATACAGCTCATTCCTCACCTGTTTGGTTGAAAACAAGATGATTTCAGAAGTGCCTTGATCTCAGGGTTGATCGATGGTTGGTTAATGAAGTGATGAAGCTTCCTGATTGGCTGCGTTCTCCAAACAGTTAATGAAAACAGGAGCTGCTGAAACAGGCTGCCTGATCCTGGCTAGACGAGTTAAAACATTACTGATTAAAATATGCTGTTAAATGTTTGACTTTTTCCCAAGCAAAGGTCACATCTAGACGTCTGATCTTTAGTATTTAATCTATGTCTGAAAATGGATTGGATTAACTTTAGAACAATAAACATGTTTAAATCAATAAATTGGATTATATCTTCAGAAACATTTTCATGTCAGGAAACAGAATAACTAGTTTTCCCTCCTTTTGTAGAAATATTTCTTGTTGCCACAGACCAGTCTGAGATGTTAGCGGCGTCCTTCCATTCTAGAATATTTTCTATGCAGCGGAATATCTGATATCAAATTCTTTTACTTTTTAAATTCCTTAGTAGAGCTGTTGGTGCTGATATTTTAATTTCACTGTGCAAACTAAAAATCTGGGATTTAATCTGACCCTAGAAATGCTGAGTAGTGATATAATCCCAGCCTAAAATTCTACCAAGTTTGAGGGAAATGTGGGTTTGATCTAACAGGAAATATACTTTTTAATGAAATTTGTTTAGCTTATCGATTAAAACTTGTTTGCTGACTCAGGCTTTCAGAATTTGTCTTAATGAGCGATTTTCTCCACTTCCTTTCATCCTTTTAAGATTTACGAAGCATTCAGAAAACTTTCCCTTTAAAGCTGCTGCAAATTTTCAGAGAAGCAAACCATTTGAAAACAAACCATGCAAAGAGCAGTGTTGCCAACTTAGCGCTTTAGTCGCTATATTTAGCCACTTTTCAGACCCCTCTAGCACTTTGATTTCTAAAAAGCTCCTAGCGCCAAATCTAGAGACTTTTTTCTGCTACTGGAGACTTTGGAGACAACATCTAAAAGCAGCGAACTCTGCTCTCCAGAGCGAGTAGATTGGTAACCCCGCCTCCTGCTCTCCTCTATCTTGTCTGCTGTCATGATTCATGCAGCTATTATTTCATCCAAATGAAAAATGGAGAACAGATAAGCAGATCATGGCTTGTCTACAGCGAAAAGAAGGACTGGGTTATTTACTTTGGCCTTTTTGGAAACACAGGAAGGAGCAATCAGCTAAGTGAGCTTAGTGCTTGGAAAAAATCTTTCATTCCTTTAGAGACAGCATGAAAAGTCAGCTGAGTACAAAACATAGAGAGGAAAACAAGAAGAAAAGGGACAAGAAGAGAGGGACACAACCTAGAACAGATCATGGATGTCTATTCTATTAACATTTCTACATCTGGAGAATGGGGCTGTTTGAGGTGTTCTCCATTCAGAGGGCCCCCCGCCTGTCTTTGCCCAGGGCCCCACATTTCCTAAATCCGCCCCTGATGAGACGTCAGAGTGACCGGCTGGAATGAAGCGACTTTAACTGATGCATGTTTTGTTAGCTTGTCAGGGAAATAAGAAAGACCAGTTTAGACCAGTAAAGAAAAGGATATGGTAACTGGTTTCCAGAAAACCTCCAGAGGAATAAATTCTGCAGAGTTTAGCCTCTAATTAAAAACAGAGAGAAAGTGTCGTACCGAGCTGGTTAGCATGGTTCATCCATCATAGTGAACCCCTTTATTAACACTTGTTCACCATTCCAGCCATAAAAGGGGGGGGGGGGGGGGGTGTGCAGGCCACTGAGGATTGATGGAAGGAACCGGAACTCACCAGAAATCCGATTTATTGATTACTTCACCAAATGTTTGGAAGATTACATCACAATATCCCGTATAGAACCATATCAGCGTTTTCATTTCTAAGTATCTTACATGGAAAACTTTACAGTCTGCATTTTGTCCTTTACTGTATAATATACATACATATATATCTATTTATTTATATACTCCCTGGAATCAGGGAAGAAAGGTAGACATCCAGAGCTGCGAGGGGAGGAATGCTGTCAAAGAAAATCTCTAAATGCACTTTATGCCATAGATCCTTCTGGAAAAAAGCCCAACAGTCTGACTCAGGTCTTCTCAGCACTTTAAACGGGACTGAAAGCAAACAAACACGGATGGAACGAACAGATGGACATGCGAGCGGTTCACTGCAGCGATTACTGGACGTCTACCAGTTAATCCCAGTTTGAAGCTTATGGATTCAGCAGAAGCAGGAAATAAACATAAAAATGTACAGAAACAGTTTTTCTTCCTTCAGCTTTTAGAGGAAACCTGCAGTTCTTTTTGATAAAAGGAATGAAAGCAAATAATCAAAATAAATACAATTTCACCGACAAACGAGGAGCATCCCGTCTGAAGCTGACGGTGCAGATTCAGTCCATGGATGGAGGAGGTTTCAAGCACAGAGAAACAGATCAGACTTTTCCAAACAGGCACCGTTGGCAGAAAGCCTTTTTCTCCCAAAGGGAAACTTCAGATTCACTCGGTTCATATTTATGCTTCATTTCCATTCTCTTTAATAAGCATTAAAAAGAAACAAAAAAGAGAAAAATCCCAGAAATTAATGGAGGATCTGCAACAATAAATTATCTTTAGTTTTATTGTTTGGGGCGATGAGAGACGACAGCCAGCAGAGGGCGCCGGTCACAGTGCTGTTCATCCCAGAGGGCAGGAAGGAGGGAAAAAGCTCAGCGATGTGATGAAGAACCTGAACCAAGGAACCAAACCTCATCCAGTCTGAGAGAGGACAGATGATCAAGTTCATCTCAGATCCTCCCGTCGGCCTCCGCCGTCTTCTCTGTGGAGGTGGGGGTCCGGGCGGGCGCCCCATCGGGGGCGGAGATGTGGAAGACGGATCCGATGCGAAGGAAGAAGCGCCTGAGGACGGCCCGCAGCTCCGGGATCAGATCGAACTGCATCATCTCACACAGGTGGGGGTAGTAAGAGGACGCGTGGGGCTTAAACTGCAGAGGAGACACAGGTTAGAGAGGGGGGGGGGGGGGGGGGTTCACATCATGCTGGGGGGGGGCGATCACATCAACTGCTGCATTGGAGGTTTTTGAAAGCTGAAAGCTGAGTTAGTTTTAGGTCTAAATTATTGATTATTCCTGCTGATGGACTTTGGCTTCAGGACGTCCTCAGATAGTTCAGCTGCAGACGGTCAGTTTATGGTCCGTCAGAAAACAACATGGAGGAAGCTGACCGTCCAGAACAGGCGGTAAGAAGGACGACCTGCATCCAAGTAGGGCTGTAACTAACCACTAGGCTACGTTCCCACAGCAGCCTGAAGTGACCTGGATCTGATGACAGTCTGATTCTTTCCAAAGCGATTAATCGATTAATCTGATGAATTGTTTCCTTCTTAGATCCAAGCATCACATTCAGAGAATCTGGGAGCTAAAATCTGCAGCTGAGATGTCAAAGCAGGAGGAGCAGAGACCACTGATCTCTATTTATTTATTGGATTGCTGAGTCGCTGAAAACAATGTAATCAATCCATGAACATCATCAGTTTATCACTTCTGGCTCATCTGTATCATTCTGCTCCACATTAATGTTATTGTGATGGATTGTATAATATGTTATATTACCTGATTAATGGACGTCATAATGACTCTGCAATGTGATTGGCCGATTGTTTTATTCTAAGTTAAAGTTAATCTACTGATGCTGTGAAACAGCCAGTCTGTGTCAAAGTGAGGAATTTATCTTTATTTAAAAAAGTCTTTAGCTGAAAATGAGAACATCATGTTGTTTGGTGCTGTAGCTCACAGATTGTTTACATCGAGACCGGTCTAACTAGGGAGTACCAATATGGCGGCCGGTGGCTTCACTCCCCCCCCCTCCCGTACTGCCAAAGAGCAATCAGCATCCAGTGAATAGAGATCAGTGGAAGAACCCTGGAAGATTTCTGGCTGCAAACGCAGAGAAAGGAGGTTCCAGAACTTTCTACACTGTAAAAAACCTCAATAAGTCCTTTTTTTTTTTAAATAAGAGCATTTTCTCTCCAGCTGAGGAGGTAAGTGAGACACTTTGCTAATGGAAACAAACATTTTACATTTAAAATAACAAAAAACAATTGCATTGTCTTATTTCAAACATATATTATCTAATTATCTTCTTTTAAGAGTAAAAATACTGATTCCATTGACAGATCATGGTATTTACCTGCTCAAATTAAAGGTAAATACATGTTTTACTTCTTCCTAGATAGTTTTTTCAGAGTAGAATGTTGTGGCAGAAGCAGCAGGGGTTACCCTGAGCTGCTCAGTCGCATCCAATCCCATCAGAAACGTCTAAACAGCCGCTAACCGCTCAGCTCTCAACCTGTCAGGAACCTGAGTCACGGCTCCGGCGAGTCACGGCTGACTCAGAGGAGCCGTGACTCATGCAGCAGACAGCGTTCAGTGAGGTGTGGGTGGGGGGGGTGTGGTGTCCCTGCCTTGTCGTCGGGCAGCCGTAGCGTCCTGGTGAGCAGCAGCATCAGCAGGCTGTTCCAGGCCTCCCTGTGGCTCTCTGAGGTCAGGCGGATGAAGTAGCTCAGAGCTTCAGAGCAGACCCTGAGAGGCAGGAAGCACAGCGCGGTCAGAGACGCTCCTGACAGCAGAGCTTTACCGTCACAGCAGCACACATTCCTCACCACAGAACAGCTTTCAGGAACAAACAGCTTCTGCTGTGAAAACGCCCGCTTCTCAGCCCAACTGGAGCCTAACTCCGCCCATCAGGCCCCTTTAAATGGGATCACTGTCCCCAGGAGCTGGAGGCCCCGGCTGCTCCTGGGTTAGCGCCAGAGACCAGCAGGAACGTTTCCTCAGGGTCAGACCAGTCTGAGGGCGGCGGCATCCCGCCAAGGCGTGACTGATCCACAGCAGAAGTCTGTCCCACCGTTAACTAGCCGCTTTTCTACCATTAAAACATTTATTCTGATGACTTTTTCCCAAGCAAAGGTCACATCTAGACGTCTGATCTTTAGTATTTAATCTATGTCTGAAAATGGATTAACGTTAGAACAATAAACATGTTTATATCAATAAATTGGATTATATCTTCAGAAACATTTTCATTTTAGAAAAAAAGACTTAATAACTAGTGTTCCCGCCTTGTTGTCACAGACCAGTCTGAGATGCCGGCATTGTTAGCGGCGTCCTTCCATTCTAGAATATTTTCTACGCAGCGGAATATCTGATATTAAATTCTTTTTAAATTCCTTAGTAGAGCTGATGGTGCTCGATCTACGACGGAGAATTAAGGCCATAATATTACAAGAATTACGTTTAAAAATTACAAAAATGAAGTCGGTTTCAGAAAGAAAGCTTCCAGCATGATTTCTTTGATAGAGACGTTTGAACAATTGTTTCAAAGTTATGATCCTGAAAATTATTTGATATTTTCTCCTTATATGTCAAACCGATGCTAAAGTATAACTCAACATTCCTCATTTTAGGGAAGAAAGGGCTTCTGGGAAGATTTGCCATAAAATACAACTTGCTTCTCACAAATTTAAGACCTTACTCTCGTAAATTTACTTTATCCTAGTAATGCGATGATTTTATTCTTTTAAGATTACAGTTTATTCTCCAAAAGTTATGAATTTATTGTCATAAATAAATGACTATTCTTGTAATATTACGATATTATTCTCATAATATTATGAATTTATTCTCATATAAAATAATCTCTAAAGGCTGAAATTGATATTTTAATCTCACCGTTCAAAGTAAAAATCTGGGATTTTATCTGATAAAATGCTGAGTCATGATACAATCATCACGTAAAATCCAGAGTGAATCATCGATGCTTTAATGATCCACAGCAGGAAATATTCTCACGTTTTTCAGTTCAGTTACAATAAAACAAACTAAATTCTTCCCAAAGGGAAATTAAATATAACATTATGATGAATAATATAATAATTCAATGAGAATAATATCATTATAATCTCTAATAAATCTTTTTGAAACGAAGGAAGCTCCAGACCGGACGGTTGCTCTAACATCTGCAGTAAATGCAGTCTCACCCAGGCACGTGCAGAGGGGGGGGCTAAGGAGGCTTGAGCACCTGCCCCTTTTGCTCCATGATCCTAATGTGCCCTTTTGGTCCCTTTTTTTTTTTTTTTTTTTATATATTTTTTTTTTTTATTTGACACATGTACTGAAATTATTATTATTATCTTTTTTTTGGCAAGAAAAACAATACAATAAGCCCTCCGGTCACATTGTTACCTTTGACCTTTTGCCGGTGACGACGCACTTGCCTCTCGCACAGTCAGATAAGGCGGCTAACTGCGGAGCTAAAGGTAGCGAACATTCCACATTACACTGTGGCCGCTGCTCATTTGGCCCTAAGCAAGATCAACCATGATCTGACGGATGGCTATGTCTTCAGTCTGCACCGCCTCTCCAATGTCAACCTGAATAGAGATGTAAGTGAAACCAAATGAGCCCCATGGATGATGCAGTATTGTTTGATCTAAAACACTGTTTGCTCTGTGCTTTTAGTCTTTTACATTGAAAATTATGTTTTTTAATTCACAAAAAACTGTTCTGTAATGATTACAGAACAGTTTTTTTGTGAATTAAAAAACATAATTTTTGGTGAAAATACTGGAGTAGGCTTCCTACTTGTCAGACAACGGAAAACTTTGAACATTGTATAATTTCTCTACTTTAGCAAAGAGTAGCGGTTTAAACGGAGGAAAGTATAGGACGCGGCGCGCCTTTCTCTGAAGAACTACTGAGCGGGAGGAGACAGCCAGGTGAGGAAAAGCTGTTCTTATCTATCGATTCAGTATTTTTATCATACAGACATTAGGCTGTTGTTCTTGTGCTATGAGCTAGCTGCTAGCTAATGACTTTGCTAGCAAAGCAAGATAACTAAAAAGCTTCCCTGTGTCGTTAATGACAGTAGGACATTCTTCAGTATTACTTATGCAATAGGGGCACATCGCCCGTCAAAAACCTATCATCTCCATAATGGATATATGTCTGATTTTCTAATTTCCTTTGCTGCATGATGTACATTTCATTTATTCTAGCGTTAGGTAAATGTATCTTGAAGGAGACCTCATCCAGAACTACCATGATAGATATATGATAGATATAATGTATGAAGCTGGTGAAAACAAAACTGCGCAGCTTATGCAAGGAGGATCGGTTGTCAGACCTTCTTTTGTTGGCAATCGAGAAGGATGTGCCAATCATTCACAGTGAGGTTATTAACATTTTTGAAGACATGGCTAACAGAAAACTGCTGCTGTGAACAAAAGAGAACAAAAATAGCAAAAATGCTTAAAAGTTGGAAATTTGTTTTTAAACAGTTAAATAACCATGATGGAAAATTAGTTTTTGGATCATAATCTTGGATTTCGTTTTGGGGAAAAAGAAAGGCAAGAGACTGAAATAAATAAGACATTGACCTTCACTCAACACAGAAAAGATGAGACAATGAGGAAAAAAAGAAAAGAGAAACTGGCAAGGAAAAACAAAGAGGAAAGATTGAAGAAAATGTATATAGGTACTTACAAAATACACTAAGACACAAACAGAGTAGGCTTTTCTCATGGTGACATGCATTAATAAAATGTTTGTTTTGTTCTTTTTTGCAGCAGCTCTGCTTTTCTGAATGGACCGTCTCCATCTCCACTATTTCCCTTAGCTTTGATTGTATGTCTCACAATTTTGTAATTTATCATTGTTCATTAAACTCTGAAAGCTATGTGACTTTGTTAATATTCTGTCCTAAAATGCGATAAGATGTGCCCTTTTTTTTTTTTGAGCACCTGCCCCTTTAGTGGTCTCTGCACGGCCCTGGTCTCACCTCATGACTAATTATGACTAAAAAGGCCTTGATGCTTTAAATCAGTTTGTGATCGATGAAAGTTAGAGAATAAATCCCTTAATTAGCATTAAAGCTAAAGCTACTGACGACCGCCAAACAAGAACCAGTCCTCTGCAGACCGGACCGCTTCCTGTAGATCCGCTCTGACCCGGCTGCTCTAATACTAAATAGAGACGTTTATTTTCCTCCCAGGTTTAATCAAAGAGTGAAGTTGCCCCCCTCCCTTCTTCAAATCAGACTAAATTACTGTCAACGTTTGTGCAGCAAAACTTTTATTTGTGCCGCTTTTTGCTGCACAAATGTTGACAGTAATTTAGTCTGATTTGAAGAAGGTGGGGGGGCCAACTTCCCTCAGGTAAAGAGCAAACACTTTGATGATGTCACGCGCTGCGAGGCGATCCTGATCTCCATGGATCATCCAGCGCTGATGGATCAGGAGCCTGTGGAGCTCATGTGTTGGACTCACAGCAGCAGGCGCGTCTGAATGTCCGGCCAGGAGTCCTGCAGCTTGGGGTCGGAGTACATCCTGAACAAGATCCTCAGGCTGCAGGCTAGACTGCTGGTTTCCTGCTTCAGCAGGTTGGGTTTGGACTTTCCCTTAAAGCCTAGAAGCAGAACCAGAGAGAAAGCAGGTAAGTCTGATGTTCTCAGCTAGAACCTTCCTCCTATGGTCAGCTCTAAAAACACAGATCCCACAGAATCGATCTTATGCTGCGTTCACACTGAACGAACACATTATGAGCTTCAGAAACACCTGAACATAGAAATCTAGACGCTGGTCCAGCTGCTTCGCTGCTCTGCGCTCTGGATGTTTATCTGCTCTGTTCTGTAGCTTCCAGCTAGAGAGCAGCTCGGCTTTATTTACTTTAGGAGCTGGAGAATAGTTTGAACAGGTTTTTAAGCTAGAAAATAAACCTCCAAACATCCTCTGTTCATCAGGATCCCACTAAATTATGAAGTTGTTGCTCCAGACCTCCAGCATATCGCCGGGAGGCGGCGCTGGAAATCCCCGCTGGAAGCTCTCTGCTGCGGCCAGCCTGTGGGGGATTTCCTGCTGCCGCTCGTAGGCTGGAAGCGAATAGAAAGAGTTTTTAAGGTTTGTGGTAAAAACTGCAAGAACCAGAATAAATAATCCAATATTTTTTGTTGGCAGGTTTTAAAATTTTTAGTTAAAGGTATTGTGGAGGATTTTCTCATTTTTTTTAAAAAGACCCGCCCCCTCCACATAAAAATAAATGTGCGTGAGAGAGCTCTGTTTAACAGCTGCTGTTCTCATCGCTCATACAAGCTTTACTAAACGTCCGCTCGAACCCCTGAAGCCCAACATCACTACATAGAGCGGGACTATATAGTGAACTCAGGACTGTTTGGACAGATGGTTGATACGACCCCATCCGTCCCGGAAGCACGATCCGCCCTGCACATGCGCAAACATAATAATAAGACCCGGATCACCGAAAGACTACGTAATAACGTTACTAAAAATGCATACGCAGGACGGATCGCGCTTCCGGGACGGAACGGGTCGTGACAATGACCACTTCCCCATTGGCCGACCGCGCGGTGCCTCATCTTTGTTATTAGGCGCTGCTGTCCGATAGCGACAGCCTATGGCGACTGGGGGCCGCTTTGACAGCAAAACCCATGATGCTTTGTACAGAGAGCTCTCTGTGCGAAGCATCATGGGATACATCTGCCTCATCTGAGGCATTTCTTTTCTTCTCATACTTCGTAGACACTTTTTCTCTTCTGACCCTCGGCCATTTTCAAAGAACCGCAGTGAGAAAGGTGATCTTCAGTGACTGAAACCGTAGCTCACCACAGATAAACGCCTGGAAGTACGCAGAAAAGAAAGCTAACGGGACGAGAACGTAGGACGGCCCTACGTAAACATATCAGCAGAATGATTGACAGTTAGGACGACCACTGACTGAGATGATCCACCTGGAAATAAAAGATCCTCCTCTATAGCTTTAATTTGGGTATTTATTAACCGTTTGATCAAAGTTAATAAAACAATTTTTTTAGAGAGCAATGATGATGACAGCTCGCTCTTTGTTCCTTCAACATAATCCATTCCTCCGCCGTGTTTTTTATCTTTGGAGTTTAACCCCTCGATATTCATCTATTGTTCAGACATTTGTGCAGAAACGATAACAGCCTGTAACGATCGTCTCCCCCAGAAAAACTCCTGGATCAGCTTTTCTGATGGGTTGACGTTCCGGCGTTCAGCGGCTAAAGTTCACATTCCTCAGATGTGCAGCTTTGTGTGACGCAGCATAAAGATCATTTAGCGTTATTGTTAAGACATTCATTCTGTCCGGATTGGTCCCATTGCGGATGCGGACCTCTCTAAGGGAGACCTTCCCAGAAGCGTCCACCTACCCGCCCTCCACAGAGCCGTCCTCTGCTCGTTGTTGGAGTTGAACTCCTTGGCGAAGTTGTGCGACTCCAGCAGGCAGTCCAGCAGCTTGAAGAGGTGCGCCGACGTCATGTGGCGGTACATGCCCTGATCTGGAGGCGCCTCTTCTCCTTCAGCCTCTGACTGCTCCAGAACATCTCGCTGAGGACACAGTTAGATGGCTTTAGTGGTGTGACCGATCTGACTCAGCTTAAAGCAGCTCAGTTCCCATGGTCCTTCCTGTTAGTCAGCGGTCCAATAAGAAGGAAGAAACACAGAACCGGCCCAACGGCTCCATAAACACCAGTAATCTTAGACTCATTTAAAAATGTGCAGAGAGCCGCTGACTTGTGAGCGAGAGGATGGAGAAAGCATCGGACAGAGAGCGGGCTGACGGGCCACTAAGCAGGGGTCCAATCGGTTTCTGAAAGCATCAGCTTTAGGACCAGGAAGGAGGATGAAGATGTCATGTCAGACTTTTGATGATGGATCTGATCAATTTCCCTGAATCCTGAGTTTTATTTCATCCCTACTGACCACCAGAGGGCATTGCTGAGCTCATTGAATGCACCTTTGAACCCCTGGATGACCACCCAGAAGCTACCCGCTAAGGCTGGCCTGGACGATACGCCAGCAGATGATCCTGCTGTTGCCTCCTGAGTCCCTGATGACCTCCTGAGTTAGGCTTGGAATCAGCATCACGTCCAGCATCTGTGGCTTCTCCAAGCACGTTCAACAGCGTCTACTACACCAACATGGCTGCTCCTCCTCCTCTGGGCCGAGCCCAACATGGCCGCTCCTCCTCCTCTGGGCCGAGCCCAACATGGCCGCTCCTCCTCCTCTGGGCCGAGCCCAACATGGCCGCTCCTCCGGCCTGGGCCGAGCCCAACATGGCCGCTCCTCCTCCTCTGGGCCAAGCCCAACATGGCCGCTCCTCCTCCTCTGGGCCAAGCCCAACATGGCCGCTCCTCACCGCCTGGGCCGAGCCCAACATGGCCGCTCCTCACCGCCTGGGCCGAGCCCAACATGGCTGCTCCTCCGGCCTGGGCCGAGCCCAACATGGCCGCTCCTCCTCCCCTGGGCCGAGCCCAACATGGCCGCTCCTCCTCCTCTGGGCCGAGCCCAACATGGCCGCTCCTCCTCCTCTGGGCCGAGCCCAACATGGCCGCTCCTCCTCCTCTGGGCCGAGCCCAACATGGCCGCTCCTCCTCCTCTGGGCCGAGCCCAACATGGCCGCTCCTCCTCCTCTGGGCCGAGCCCAACATGGCCGCTCCTCCTCCTCTGGGCCGAGCCCAACATGGCTGCTCCTCCGGCCTGGGCCGAGCCCAACATGGCCGCTCCTCCTCCTCTGGGCCGAGCCCAACATGGCTGCTCCTCCTCCTCTGGGCCGAGCCCAACATGGCTGCTCCTCACCGCCTGGGCCGAGCCCAACATGGCCGCTCCTCCGGCCTGGGCCGAGCCCAACATGGCCGCTCCTCACCGCCTGGGCCGAGCCCAACATGGCCGCTCCTCCTCCTCTGGGCCGAGCCCAACATGGCCGCTCCTCCTCCCCTGGGCCGAGCCCAACATGGCCGCTCCTCACCGCCTGGGCCGAGCCCAACATGGCCGCTCCTCCTACTCTGGGCCGAGCCCAACATGGCCGCTCCTCCTCCTCTGGGCCGAGCCCAACATGGCCGCTCCTCCTCCTCTGGGCCGAGCCCAACATGGCCGCTCCTCCTCCTCTGGGCCGAGCCCAACATGGCCGCTCCTCCTCCTCTGGGCCGAGCCCAACATGGCCGCTCCTCCTCCTCTGGGCCGAGCCCAACATGGCCGCTCCTCACCGCCTGGGCCGAGCCCAACATGGCCGCTCCTCACCGCCTGGGCCGAGCCCAACATGGCTTCTCCTCCTCCTCTGGGCCGAGCCCAACATGGCCGCTCCTCCGGCCTGGGCCGAGCCCAACATGGCCGCTCCTCACCGCCTGGGCCGAGCCCAACATGGCCGCTCCTCCTCCCCTGGGCCGAGCCCAACATGGCCGCTCCTCACCGCCTGGGCCGAGCCCAACATGGCCGCTCCTCACCGCCTGGGCCGAGCCCAACATGGCCGCTCCTCCGGCCTGGGCCGAGCCCAACATGGCCGCTCCTCACCGCCTGGGCCGAGCCCAACATGGGCGCTCCTCACCGCCTGGGCCGAGCCCAACATGGCCGCTCCTCCTCCCCTGGGCCGAGCACAACATGGCCGCTCCTCACCGCCTGGGCCGAGCCCAACATGGCTGCTCCTCCTCCTCTGGGCCGAGCCCAACATAGCCGCTCCTCACCGCCTGGGCTGAGCCCAACATGGCCGCTCCTCCTCCCCTGGGCCGAGCCCAACATGGCCGCTCCTCCTCCTCTGGGCCGAGCCCAACATGGCCGCTCCTCACCGCCTGGGCCGAGCCCAACATGGCCGCTCCTCACCGCCTGGGCCGAGCCCAACATGGCTGCTCCTCCTCCTCTGGGCCGAGCCCAACATGGCCGCTCCTCCGGCCTGGGCCGAGCCCAACATGGCCGCTCCTCACCGCCTGGCCGAGCCCAACATGGGCGCTCCTCACCGCCTGGGCCGAGCCCAACATGGCCGCTCCTCCTCCCCTGGGCCGAGCACAACATGGCCGCTCCTCACCGCCTGGGCCGAGCCCAACATGGCTGCTCCTCCTCCCCTGGGCCGAGCCCAACATAGCCGCTCCTCACCGCCTGGGCCGAGCCCAACATGGCCGCTCCTCCTCCCCTGGGCCGAGCCCAACATGGCCGCTCCTCCTCCTCTGGGCCGAGCCCAACATGGCCGCTCCTCCTCCTCTGGGCCGAGCCCAACATGGCTGCTCCTCACCGCCTGGGCCGAGCCCAACATGGGCGCTCCTCACCGCCTGGGCCGAGCCCAACATGGCCGCTCCTCCTCCCCTGGGCCGAGCACAACATGGCCGCTCCTCACCGCCTGGGCCGAGCCCAACATGGCTGCTCCTCCTCCTCTGGGCCGAGCCCAACATAGCCGCTCCTCACCGCCTGGGCCGAGCCCAACATGGCCGCTCCTCCTCCCCTGGGCCGAGCCCAACATGGCCGCTCCTCCTCCTCTGGGCCGAGCCCAACATGGCCGCTCCTCCTCCTCTGGGCCGAGCCCAACATGGCCGCTCCTCCTCCTCTGGGCCAAGCTCAACATGGCCGCTCCTCCTCCTCTGGGCCAAGCCCAACATGGCCGCTCCTCACCGCCTGGGCCAAGCCCAACATGGCCGCTCCTCACCGCCTGGGCCGAGCCCAACATGGCTGCTCCTCCGGCCTGGGCCGAGCCCAACATGGCCGCTCCTCCTCCTCTGGGCCGAGCCCAACATGGCCGCTCCTCCTCCTCTGGGCCGAGCCCAACATGGCCGCTCCTCCTCCTCTGGGCCGAGCCCAACATGGCCGCTCCTCCTCCTCTGGGCCGAGCCCAACATGGCCGCTCCTCACCGCCTGGGCCGAGCCCAACATGGCTGCTCCTCCGGCCTGGGCCGAGCCCAACATGGCCGCTCCTCCTCCTCTGGGCCGAGCCCAACATGGCTGCTCCTCCTCCTCTGGGCCGAGCCCAACATGGCCGCTCCTCACCGCCTGGGCCGAGCCCAACATGGCTGCTCCTCACCGCCTGGGCCGAGCCCAACATGGCCGCTCCTCACCGCCTGGGCCGAGCCCAACATGGCCGCTCCTCCTCCTCTGGGCCGAGCCCAACATGGCCGCTCCTCCTCCCCTGGGCCGAGCCCAACATGGCCGCTCCTCACCGCCTGGGCCGAGCCCAACATGGCCGCTCCTCCTCCTCTGGGCCGAGCCCAACATGGCCGCTCCTCCTCCTCTGGGCCGAGCCCAACATGGCCGCTCCTCCTCCTCTGGGCCGAGCCCAACATGGCCGCTCCTCCTCCTCTGGGCCGAGCCCAACATGGCCGCTCCTCCTCCTCTGGGCCGAGCCCAACATGGCCGCTCCTCACCGCCTGGGCCGAGCCCAACATGGCCGCTCCTCACCGCCTGGGCCGAGCCCAACATGGCCGCTCCTCACCGCCTGGGCCGAGCCCAACATGGCCGCTCCTCACCGCCTGGGCCGAGCCCAACATGGCCGCTCCTCCTCCTCTGGGCCGAGCCCAACATGGCTTCTCCTCCTCCTCTGGGCCGAGCCCAACATGGCCGCTCCTCCGGCCTGGGCCGAGCCCAACATGGCCGCTCCTCACCGCCTGGGCCGAGCCCAACATGGCTTCTCCTCCTCCTCTGGGCCGAGCCCAACATGGCCGCTCCTCCGGCCTGGGCCGAGCCCAACATGGCCGCTCCTCACCGCCTGGGCCGAGCCCAACATGGCCGCTCCTCCTCCCCTGGGCCGAGCCCAACATGGCCGCTCCTCACCGCCTGGGCCGAGCCCAACATGGCCGCTCCTCACCGCCTGGGCCGAGCCCAACATGGCCGCTCCTCACCGCCTGGGCCGAGCCCAACATGGCCGCTCCTCACCGCCTGGGCCGAGCCCAACATGGCCGCTCCTCCTCCTCTGGGCCGAGCCCAACATGGCCGCTCCTCCTCCTCTGGGCCGAGCCCAACATGGCCGCTCCTCCTCCTCTGGGCCGAGCCCAACATGGCCGCTCCTCCTCCTCTGGGCCGAGCCCAACATGGCCGCTCCTCCTCCTCTGGGCCGAGCCCAACATGGCCGCTCCTCCTCCTCTGGGCCAGGCCCAACATGGCCGCTCCTCACCGCCTGGGCCGAGCCCAACATGGCCGCTCCTCCTCCTCTGGGCCGAGCCCAACATGGCCGCTCCTCCTCCTCTGGGCCGAGCCCAACATGGCCGCTCCTCCTCCTCTGGGCCGAGCCCAACATGGCTGCTCCTCACCGCCTGGGCCGAGCCCAACATGGCTGCTCCTCCTCCCCTGGGCCGAGCTCTTTTACGAGGTCAAACTGGAATCTCTCATTGAGGTTGTGTTCAGGATTCCTGATTACATGGTTGGTATCAGTCATTCAGTGCTTTCAGCGGCGCCCTCTGGTGGTCAGTGGGGATGAAATAGAGCTGTAGTTCCTTTTCTCTGGTTTCAGAGGCGCCTTCCAAAACATGATGGATCAATCATCCCATCAGATTAAGGTTTGACCCAAATGCAGTGTTTGGGTCAAACCTTAATCTGAGAGGTGTTCTTCTTTTACCCTGTTTTCAGTAAGACGCTGATGAAATGAAAAGCTTCTCCTGTTCAGAGCGTTAAGCTCTGATGTTCTGATGTAGAATGGATCCATTTTCCTTAGCGTACCTGTGCGGCAGCCATGTTGTCAGCATCCTCCTTCTTGCTGGTTGCCGGGTAGAAGACGATGTTGTCTACGGTCTGGATCAGTTCCAGCTGTACGACACATTTAATCAGCAGGCCAGCAAACAGCCTCTGGTCTGAGACTCCTGCAGGAGAGAAATGAGAGGAGCTTCTAACCCGAAGGTTCCTTCTGCGGCTCAGAGGTCTGCTGGGTTTACTCACGGGCGTTGGACCTGCCCTTCCAGGTGTCGTCGCTGGACATCTGGCTGTGTCCCCTCTCAGACAAAGCTCTGTCATAGCTGCTCTGGGACTGAGCGTCAAAGTCAGCCTCCTGCAGAACAGACAGCAAAGAGTCAGAGGTCCGAGTCTCTCCTGTCAGGAACCGAAGGATGAAGGCCTGTGGCTCCTTACAAAGTGCTTCCCCTCGGCCGCCTCATCATCCTGTCCCGTCGGTCGCCATGTCAACAAGCTGATCAGAGCACAAAGCAAACGTGGCAGGATTAAATGGTGGGCGTGGAAAAGACCCGCATCCTGCCGCAGAATGAATCTGTCACTCACGCATGAGGGCTGGTGTTCTGGAAGATCTCCAGCATGCAGGAGCAGGTGACGTTCCAGACCTCTGGGCTGAACTTCTCCCCATTCAGGATCACCAGGTTCTCCAGACAGTTGGTCCCTGATCGGGCCAGCTGCTCGTTATCTACAGGAGAAAGGAAACCAACTCAACACTCGTTCCTAAAAGTTAAAGTCAATCCGCTGGACTTTGCTTCCAAGTTTGAAGACGTTTCTCTTCCATCCAGGAAACTTTTTCAGTTCAAAATGTCAGAAATAGCGTTGATGGTATATAAATGGGTATTTGAGGCTAACAAAGAAACAAAACAAAACAACCCCCGTTCCAAAGGGGCGGACCCGTTCATCGGGTTTAATCTGCATGTTTTCTAAACCAAAACCAGGCTTTGCTTTGGTTCACGCTATAAAACCTGGAACTCAACTCTATTTCTGGCATTTTGAATTGGATCGTTTTTAACTTTTTTGGAATAACTATGACCTGGATGACCGTGAATCTTCACCAGCAATTCTAAACTCCTTTGCTGGATCTTCAGCGGGACTTTATGGGTCAGATGGGCTTCATTTACCAACAAACGTTGGTAAAGTTATCCACCGCCATCTCCTCAAGCTTCCTACCTTGCCTCACACACCACTGCAGCTGCGTGAAAATGTCCTCCAGTAAAATCTCACTGAGGGGCTGGTAGAACTGGGTGAAGACGTCGCAGACGGCGTACAGTGCATGGTTACACGTCGTGGTCATCCACTCGATTTTCTGGAAGAGAAACACGTCGGTGAGGACTTTGGCGCCCATCAGGAAATGATCCTTTCCTTGAACTCTGACCTCGGTCTGCTGTTCCGGCAGCTTCATGTTGTCAAAGATGCGGAAGACGATCCTGAAGAGGTCGTGCCACCAGTGCTTCTCGAAGGTGTGGCCGTAGCTCTTCATGATCTCGAACATCACCGTCAGACCTCTGCGCCGAGCAGCAGCAGACAAGAAGATCCAGACGTTAAAACACAGAAGTTAAACCTAAATCTGGCCTCAGACGTTCCTCCATCAAGCTGGGCGTTAGCTTAAATTTGGGCTGATGGATTAAATGGATCCGTTTATCAACTCTGCTTTTTCCTCACCTTTGAACTCTTTGCTTCCATAGATTAACTGGGATCGTGTTTCTGTTATGAGCTCAGTGGGTGAACAGTGTTGTTTTCGTCAACGATAACGAAATGATTTCGTTGTCGCTCCTTTTTTTTTTCATGACGATGACGAGAACTGAGTAGCTAAACATGGATCTTTGATTACTAAAACATGACTAGTAAAGGTTTTAGTTTGCGTCAACGAGACTAAATAAAAATTAGCGGGTGGTCGGTCAGATTTTTAGACTGCTTCATTATGTTATAATCTGCTAAGCAGTATCTGCCGTGCTGCTACGTCCTGTTTCTTCACGCCGCCCACCTGTCGTGCAGCGGTGCACATCCTGCATGACCACACATGGATCAGCAGCAGGGGATGGAAATAAGCCGAAACGATCCGGTTCTGGGCTCTGAACTCTGACTAACTCTGCTCTTCCAGCTGTGCTTGTGCAGAAATGCGTCATTGCATAGCTTAGCTCGGAGTCTGCGCTTTACGCTTCACTCTGATGCTTCACTCTCAGCAGTACGGATCTTCCTGCTCTCGCTACTTAATAAACTAGATATGGCTGATCATCCTCTGCCTAGCATAAAGAATCCCTTAGTCTAACTATCAAGATTTTATTTCTTCCAGCTCACAAGAGGTGATGCTAAACTTCTTTCATTTCTACCAACAGGAATCCCTAAACTATATCCAAAGAAAATATTTCATTGCATTCTGTTTATTTCTGGATATAGATCCAGATGAAAAGGTTCATAGATCTTTAAATATTTCTCTCTCATTCTTCTTGTTTCTATCTATTTAAATGTGATGTAAATGTTTCCTTGTATTGTCATTAAAACATTTTCTCTGTTTTAGCAGCATATTCATTCAGTTTAGGTCTGGGTTGCCATGGCATCACAAAGCAATTATGCAGGTTCTCTCTGTATATTTATTTTATATCAAAACCCTGTGAAATTAAAGCTACAGTGTGTAATTTTCAGTGACATCTAACGTCCAGACTGCAGACTGCAGCAACATGAACATCTCCCCCCCACCGCTTCTCCCCCCCAACAGTACGGCGAGCGTTACGGGACGAAATGTCTTCCACGACGTCCGCTTCTCAAGTGATGAGGTTTGTTTACATAGATCATTTTAATACTGCCATCTATTGTTCAGTACCGTCTCAGTTTATCTCTCTCAACTTGCCGTAGTTACTTTCGAGCGTAATGGGCGATCTCGCAATCGCTAGTTTGTTGCCTCTGCGCTGCCATAGCGCAAAGATGTCTGCCTCCATGGCTGCGAGACCCGCTCCTATGTAATTATAAATAACGAATTCTAAGGCAACGCAAATATTAAGGTTAAGAGGCTGAGCTCGTAGGTGATGATAAATAACATAGTTATGTATAATATATTACATTTCTGACTGTATACAGTGGGGCAAAAAAGTATTTAGTCAGCCACCAATAGTGCAAGTTCTCCCACTTAAAAAGATGAGAGAGGCCGGTAATTTTCATCATAGATATACCTCAACTATGAGAGACAAAATGAGAAAAAAACATCAAGAAAATCACATTGTCTGATTTTTAAAGAATTTATTTGCAAAATATGGTGGAAAATAAGTATTTGGTCAGTTACAAAAGCTCATCTCAATACTTTGTTATATACCCTTTGTTGGCAATGACAGAGATCAAACGTTTTCTGTAAGTCTTCACAAGGTTTTCACACACTGTTGCTGGTATTTTGGCCCATTCCTCCATGCAGATCTCCTCTAGAGCAGTGATGTTCTGGGGCTGTCGCTGGGCAACACGGACTTTCAACTCCCTCCAAAGATTTTCTATGGGGTTGAGATCTGGAGACTGGCTAGGCCACTCCAGGACCTTGAAATGCTTCTTACGAAGCCACTCCTTCGTTACCCGGGCGATGTGTTTGGGATCATTGTCATGCTGAAAGACCCAGCCACGTTTCATCTTCAATGCCCTTGCTGATGGAAGGAGGTTTTCACTCAAAATGTGACGATACATGGCCCCATTCATTCTTTCCTTCACACGGATCAGTCGTCCTGGTCCCTTAGCAGAAAAACAGCCCCAAAGCATGATGTTTCCACCCCCATGCTTCACTGTAGGTATGGTGTTCTTTGGATGCAACTCAGCATTCTCTTTCCTCCAAACACGACGAGTAGAGTTTTTACCAAAAAGTTCTATTTTGGGTTCATCTGACCATATGATATTCTCCCAGTCATCGTCTGGATCATCCAAATGCTCTCTAGCAAACTTGAGACGGGCCTTGACATGTCCTGGCTTAAGCAGGGGGACACGTCTGGCACTGCAGGATTTGAGTCCCTGGCGGCGTAGTGTGTTACTGATGGTAGCCTTTGTTACTTTGGTCCCAGCTCTCTGCAGGTCATTCACTAGGTCCCCCCGTGTGGTTCTGGGATTTTTACTCACCGTTCTTGTGATCATTTTGACCCCACAGGGTGAGATCTTGCGTGGAGCCCCAGATCGAGGAAGATTATCAGTGGTCTTGTATGTTTTCCATTTTTCTAATAATTGATCCCACAGTTGATTTCTTCACACCAAGCTGTTTACCTATTGCAGATTCAGACTTCCCAGCCTGGTGCAGGTCTATCATTTTGTTTCGGGTGTCCTTTGACAGCTCTCTAGTTTTGGCCATGGTGGAGTTTAGAGTGTGACTGTTTGAGGTTGTGGACAGGTGTCTTTTATACTGATAACGGGTTCAAACAGGTGCCATTAATGAAGGTAACGAGTGGAGGACAGAGGAGCCTCTTACAGAAGAAGTTACAGGTCTGTGAGAGCCAGAAATCTTGCTTGTTTGTAACTGACCAAATACTTATTTTCCACCATATTTTGCAAATAAATTCTTTAAAAATCAGACAATGTGATTTTCTGGATTTTTTTTTTCTCATTTTGTCTCATAGTTGAGGTATATCTATGATGAAAATTACCGGCCTCTCTCATCTTTTTGAGTGGGAGAACTTGCACTATTGGTGGCTGACTAAATACTTTTTTACCCCACTGTATCCCTGTAATTATTACACACTGTAGCTTTAAATCTACTTTGGCCCCAGCGCAGCAGTAACAAAGGGGTGAATTGAAGAAATAAAACCAAATAATTTCCAAAAATAGAAAGAGGAATGTTTTTTCTCTTTGCTTTTTTAGAGTAATGCAGATTTTATTGATCTGAGTGTAATTCATAATTCATAGTAGATCAGGAAGTGTTTGCTTTGGGATGGAAACCTTGGATGATAAAACTATTCCTTTATTGGGCATTTGAGGGGAGGTCTTTGCACCGATGCCCAGAAGGCGCTCGGTGTGAATGCAGCTTAAAGGGAGACGCTGGATTGGTGATGAAAAGTAGGAGGATGGAATCTGAGGCAGAGACCCTGAATTTGTACAGCTTCATAATTTCCCTCTGGGATTATTAAAGTATGTCTGATTCTGACGTCGTCACAACTACAAAGCAACGAAATGCCCTCTCTGCATTTACCCCATCCCCTTGGGTGGCAGTCTGTGGGGGTGGGGCACCTCTGGGATCCAAGCTCTATGCCCTAATCACTGGGCCACCGCTCCCCAAAGATTATTGCAGACTCCTCCATGATCAGAGGAGAACTAAAACCTGCATTCACATGAATTCTGTAGCAGAAACCAGTTAAAACCGTTTGGGGAAAAGAGGATAGAAAGAGAGCCGGGTGTTTTCAGTTTCACTACCTGGTGCGGACGTCCAGCTTACAGCGGTTGATGATACAAGACAGCTCAAACAGGATAGGGAACCAGCCCCGAACCCAGACCCGGTCCCCTGGTGCTACGTTCATGTCGTCGCTGGTGTACTCCCTCAGCGCCTGAAAGGAGGGTTACTCTGTCAGCCTAAATATGCCAGAGAGGCAGAGCGGCGAGGCTGAATGAGGCTACCTGCGGTCGCTCAGACACGTATCTGGCGCAGTGCCGGATGAGGCGGATGGCCTCCATGCTGGTGTCAGGAAAGGCGGCGTTGCACACGAACTCTGACAGACACTTAACGGCATCCTGGAAGGAATCTATGGCAGCCGCAAAATGCTCCTGGAACGTGTTCACTGGGGAGAGAGAGAACAGCTTACATCTGATCACTGATAACAGCTGACACATGCTGATGTTTATCTATTCATAGAAATGGCCAATGAAATGGAAATCAGAATATTTGTCTGATCAGATTCTCTTTCATTAGTGGACAAAATGCCTTGTTTTAAATCCCCTTCCCTCCCAGCACTCTGCCCACTAAAACCTTCATGGAACAAACATGCTTCAACTGATTCAGTCCAGATCAGCTGGACTTCTAGTCTAGATGTGGATCAATAAAGTCTGAGGTTCATCCAGAGCTTCTAATGGGCTTTCATGGCGTTTGCAGTGTTTTATTTGGCGAGGATAAATATTTTTTTCTGTGTTTAATCATCTATAAATCAGACATGCTGACATTTAAAATAGTGGCTCCACCTGAAACATATTCCTTAATGCCTTTCCATCATACAAACACAAACAATCGTATTATCAATTTATAGTTTGGAAGCTGAACTTGCTTTAATTCACAGATGTAATTTCAAGTGGAATTTCCTCCTAAGACCCTCTGGGCTTAAGGGGTCTAACGCCCCCTGCTGTCGGGTTCCCTCCTCCTCCTCCATCAGCCGTACTTACTGACGATGTGCCCCGTAGTCTGGAAAGCCAGCTCCACGATGGTCTCGTCCCGATCGGAGGCGGCCTGGTGGAACACAGAGAAGATGTTCTTCCAACCGGAGCGGATGTTGGCAGCCTGGGAGTTCACCATCTGGGCCACACAGCGGATCACCATGTCTTTGATAGTGGGAGACCTGCCAGACGGAGAAGCCGGATATGATCAGGATGTCTGTCCTGGTCGGTTCTGGTCTGGGGATGGGTTCTATCAGGGAGCTCCACCTGTTCTTTTTCATGATGTGCTCAAAGGGCCTGAGGAAGTCCTTCTGGAAGCGGAAGTTAGCCAGCTCTCCTTTCTCCAAGAACTTCATGGAGAGCTGCCTCAGTGAATCCACGGCAAAGATGGCGACGTCCTCGTTGGGGTTACAGCCCACCTGGAACATAAACACAGGAGCCGTTAGCTTTCAGACCGTCCTGGTTCACTTTAACATCCCACTGTGGGACAGTGAAGGGATTTGTTATTCTATTCTACTTAATTCCTCATCAAAATGAATAATTTCTTATTTTTCATTGAAAATAGGTCGTCTCCTTTCCTTCACCCTACATCGGCGGTTTTCAAAGTGTGAGGCGCACCTCCCCTAGGGGGCGTCGGAGCACTTTAGGGGAGGCGCGGTGCCAGGGAAAAAATAAACCGGAAAATAATTTTTAGTAAAGAAAAAGGCAGGGGAGACGAGCTCTGGCGTAAGTAGGAAAAATAGTTTGAGAAAACAGTTGAAAAGTGAGTTTGGCGTTGTTCTTATCATTAGAAAAATGAAAAAAGGGCGTATTTGCCATACAAAGGCCCCGATAAAATAATTAAAATAGGAGGAAATGTTTTAAAATGTTCATGTGTTAAACTGCATTCAGATGATTTTAAAAGATGAGATGGGGGGGGGGGGGGGGGGGGTGGTAGCAGGCATAGTGCTCCCTGGAGGGGGGGGGGGGCTCACCCTTTCATACTTTGAAAACCCCTGCCCTACATCAAAGCCACATCGAACATGATTGTCTGATTTGTAGTAACATCTTACCATAAATGCATTATTTCTATCCCTTATCCCTGCAGGGGTCATGGGGGGGTGGGGGGTGCTCTCCAAAATGTCCACAGCTATATATTGGTTATTTATTCTTCAGGTGAACAGTATTTATGTTTGTAAAACACTGTACAGTACAGAATTTTATTTGCTACTTCATTCTATTTTTAATAAGCTTTTTCAAGGTCCACATTTGTGTGACTACTTTTGCTGTTTTAACTCCACGATACCCAATAAAGGGATTTTCTATTCTATTCTATTTCAGCTCATTTTGCAGAGTAGTTTGGTTATTTGGGATAAAAGCTGTTTCATAGCCTGGCCTCGGGGCCCCGGGGCCCCTTGTCTCCAGTGCTGCCATGAAGCTCTGGTCGAGTTAAACAGATCTTTAAAAAAACCTGAAATCACCACAAACTGAATTCAACATTTATCAGCAGCCTTTCATTCTGTGTGGAAACGAGCAGCAGAACTAAATTCAACGTATGAAATCATGAAGCCTTTTAATCCACAGCAGCTCAGAGGAACAGAAACCAGTAAGAGTGAAGAGCTGATGGTCTGGATCTCGGTGCAGCTGAGGGGACAGCATCTGGATCAGGAGTCTGAGACCAGCTCAGGGAGCCTCTGGTCAGACATGCTGGGGTCAGAGGCAGGCCGCCTGTGATGATAGGTGAGCTGAAGCCCCGGAGGACCGACGGCCCCACTAACCTTGTTGAAGTGATCTCCTATAACCTGCCAAATCCGAGACCACTGCAGCCTGATGCGGTTCATGTTGTAGTAGGAGATCTCCACAATCTTCTGCAGGCTGAACATCCGGGGCTGATGGGCGGACGCCAGCTCGTCCATGGACACGGCACACAGCCAGCGGACAAAGTCCACTGCACAGGCAACACACGGCGTTTGGAGTCATTATTAACGTTCAGACATGAACCCCCCCCCAGGAGAAAATCCACTCACCGATGGCATTTCCATCCAGACGGGTGGAGCCGGTGAAAATCCTGCAGGCAGAGAAGCAGCTTTAGAAGAGAGCCAAAGGACAGCAGAAGGCTAGAGTTCAGAGGTCGCCCCACCTGTCCACGGCCACCACCACGCTCTGGGAGCTGGTCTCTCCTACGGACTCCTGGATGTGGGCCATCTGTCTCTTATCCTGACTCCCCACCAGGTTTCCTGCGTCAGAAACAGAATGAAAGCTGCTTCTAGCTGTAAAGCAGTGAAGACATATTTGGTGGGAGACCCACCCAAGCCCAGGGGCATGAACTCCTCGGTTCCTGCAGGCAGGCCCCTGATGCTCCCCTCTCGCTCTCGAACCACGCCTGAGATGTAGCGCGTCTTCACCCCCGTGCCGATCAGCTGGGCCAGCTCCAGCTGACTGATGCACCTCAGGATCTACAGCAGACACAGCTCTGAGCGGGACAGAACCTTCAAACAGAACGTCCCCATCGCTGGGCGGACGGCGTACCTCGTGCCAGGAGTTGCCCAGGTAGTTCCCATCGGTGTGAGCCACGGTGATCAGCGTTTTTATGGTGTCGATGTTCTTCTGCTTCATCTCGGTGATGCTGGAACTGGCCGTCAGCAGCGTGAATCTGGCCAGGGCCTGAATGTACGCATCTCTTTCCAGCTAAGGGCGACAACATCAGGTCACTTCCTGGTTCTAATTCACTGCTGCGGCATTAGAGAGAGAGCGCACCTGCATGCTGAAGATGGAGGCGATCCTGATGGCACATCGGATGCCCTCCAGGCACAGGGACGCCACCTCAGGGTCGTCGCAGTCCTGCAGGCCCACGCTAAAGGCTGCCAGCAGCGGGGTCCATGCCAGCTGCGGGACACAGAGGACAGCAGATGATCGTTTCCTCGTCCCCCATCATCAGCATCATCGTCAGCCGCCCATGCAGGGCCGGGAAGCCGTTACCTTAAACATGGGCCTGACGTGCTCCAGGTGTTTGGCGCTGAAGAAGGGAGCCTGTGCGTGGCTGACGGCCTCCATCAGAGCCTTGGCGGTCTTGGCCATTTGCTCCATCTCCATGTTGTAGAGCAGGCGGCGCTGCTTCTCGCTGGCCACGCCTGGAGGAAGAGCAACAACAGTTTCTGGTGTTTCTGAGGCTGAGAGAGAACCATCGAACCCGGTCGGCCCAGAACTCACTCTGCTTGGTGGACTTTGGAGCGATGGAAAACTCTCTGCTCTCCTTCATGGCGATCTTCTTGCCGGCGATCTCGTCGTAGATGGAGGACAGGTACTCCTCTGGGAGGTCCTTGCTGTCGTTGATGCCTCGGTTCATCTTGATGTACTGATCCTTGGTCATTTTGTTCTTCACCTGGAGAGAACCACAGCGCTGAACGCCACGCCTTCAGACCGGGTCGGTATCATCGTTAGGTACCGGGTTCAACCGCAGTAATGACCGGGTCAGTACCATCGTTAGGTATCAGGTTCAACCGCAATAATGACCGGGTCAGTACCATCGTTACACCATCGTTAGGTACCGGGTTCAACCGCAGTAATGACCGGGTCAGTACAACCGTTAGGTACCAGGTTCAACCGCAGTAATGACCGGGTCGGTACAACCTTTAGGTACCAAGTTCAACCGCAGTAATGACCGGGTCGGTACAACCTTTAGGTACCAAGTTCAACCGCAGTAATGACCGGGTCAGTACAACCGTTAGGTACCAAGTTCAACCGCAGTAATGACCGGGTCGGTATCATCGTTAGGTACCGGGTTCAACCGCAGTAATGACCGGGTCAGTATCATCGTTAGGTACCGGGTTCAACCGCAGTAATGACCGGGTCGGTATCATCGTTAGGTACCGGGTTCAACCGCAGTAATGACCGGGTCAGTACAACCGTTAGGTACCAAGTTCAACCGCAGTAATGACCGGGTCAGTACAACCGTTAGGTACCAAGTTCAACCGCAGTAATGACCGGGTCAGTACAACCGTTAGGTACCAAGTTCAACCACAGTAATGACCGGGTCGGTACAACCTTTAGGTACCAAGTTCAACCGCAGTAATGACCGGGTCGGTATCATCGTTAGGTATCAGGTTCAACCGCAGTAATGACCGGGTCGGTATCATCGTTAGGTACCAAGTTCAACCGCAGTAATGACCGGGTCGGTATCATCGTTGGGTACCAAGTTCAACCGCAGTAATGACCGGGTCGGTACAACCTTTAGGTACCAAGTTCAACCGCAGTAATGACCGGGTCGGTATCATCGTTAGGTACCAAGTTCAACCGCAGTAATGACCGGGTCGGTATCATCGTTGGGTACCAAGTTCAACCGCAGTAATGACCGGGTCGGTACAACCTTTAGGTACCAAGTTCAACCGCAGTAATGACCGGGTCGGTATCATCGTTAGGTATCAGGTTCAACCGCAGTAATGATCGGGTCGGTACCATTGTTAGGTACCAAGTTCAACCGCAGTAATGACCGGGTCGGTATCATCGTTAGGTACCAAGTTCAACCGCAGTAATGACCGGGTCGGTATCATCGTTGGGTACCAAGTTCAACCGCAGTAATGACCGGGTCGGTATCATCGTTGGGTACCAAGTTCAACCGCAGTAATGACCGGGTCGGTATCATCGTTAGGTATCAGGTTCAACCGCAGTAATGATCGGGTCGGTACCATCGTTAGGTACCGGGTTCAACCGCAGTATAGATACAGATAGTTAAAAGATGGCGGCGCGCATGGACGCAGCGGCTTACGGCTCTCCATTCCAGTGCTACCGAAAGTACACTTTTCAGTCGCTCTTGGACATTGGATATCAATCACAGATATCTATTTCGAGTGACTTTCTTCGTAAGCACAACATTCCGGACGAGATAGCGAGACCACCCGGGTCTCCGTGGATTGTTGTCGGGTCCTGGAGAAGACGCAGGCGGAGGAGAGAGAGGAAGCAGAAGCGGGGCTGCCGGTCTGGCCTATTGCTAAGGCTACGTAAACAACCACACAAGCCGCCTCTCCCGAGCCTGTTTCTCTCCAACGCCAGATCCCTGCTGCATAAAATGGACGACCTGGATTTACACCTCACTGGAAATCGCTACGTCCGGGACTGCTGTGTGTTTATCATTACCGAAACTTGGCTTAACCCGGACATTCCCGATGCTAGCATGCAGCTAGCCAGCCGCACTCTGCTACGCGCGGACAGAACAATGGACTCCGGTAAGAGCAGAGGAGGGGGGCTTTGTATGTATGTGCATGACAACTGGTGCAACAACGGAACCATCATAGACAGCCACTGTTGTCCGGACCTCGAGTACATGATTGTTAGGTGCCGGCCTTTTTTCCTCCCGAGAGAGCTGACCGTAGTTATCGTCACGGCTGTTTACATCCCACCCGACGCCGATGTAAGCGCGGCACTCTCTCTCCTGCTGAACGCGGTGAGCGAACAACAACGAGCTCACCCCGACGGCTTTCACATCATAGCGGGGGATTTCAATAAGGCCAACCTAAAGTCTGTACTACCAAATTTCCATCAGCACGTGAAATGTGCCACGCGAGGCGAGAACACCTTGGACCACGTCTACACCAGCATCAGGCATGCTTACAGAGCCGTCCCCCTCCCCCATCTGGGAAAATCGGACCATCTGTCCCTACTGCTCTTTCCGGCCTACACCCCCCTCAGACGCAGAATCAGGCCCACCGTAAGGACCATCACCACCTGGCCTGAAGATGCACTTCACAAACTCAAAGACTGTTTTCAACGGACAAACTGGGACCTGTTCGAACACCAGGAGCTGGGAGCACACACAGACACAGTACTGGACTACATCCACTTCTGCACCAGTAATGTGACTGTGACCAAAACTATCCGGGTCTTCCCCAACCAGAAGCCCTGGATGACCAGTCAGGTCCGCTCCCTTCTTAGAGCCCGTGACGCCGCCTTCAGGTCAGGAGACAGAGCTCTGTATAGTGCTGCCAGAGCTGAGCTGAAGAGAGGGGTCAAAGAGGCTAAAGCAGACCACAGACAACGGCTGGAGTCCCAACTGTCCAGTAACAATACCCGTAAGGTGTGGCAGGGCATCCAGGAGATCACCAACTTCAGGGGCAGCGTCGTTCAAACTGAACAACAGGGCGCACAGCTGTCAGAGGAGCTAAACAGCTTCTTTGCTCGGTTTGGAGAATCCCAGCGGCCCTCCCCTGTCCCTGCCCTGTCCCCTCCCCCACCCAGCGCTGACACCCCCCCACTCACTGTCCAGGAGCACAACGTCAGGAAGGTGCTACTGGCAGTGAACCCCAGGAAGGCCGCAGGCCCAGACGGAGTCCCTGGCAAGGTGCTAAAGGCATGCGCGGGCGAGCTCGCCCCCACCTTCACCAGGCTCTTCAACCTGTCCTTGGCCCAAGCCACCGTTCCGTCCCGCCTGAAAACCTCCACCATCATCCCAGTGCCGAAGAAGTCTGCCATCACCAGCCTGAATGATTACCGCCCAGTGGCCCTCACTCCGGTAATCATGAAGTGCTTTGAGAAGCTGGTTCTTCAGCACATCAAGGACTGTCTCCCCCCACACCTGGATCCCCAACAGTTTGCATACCGGGCCAACCGATCCACAGAGGACGCCGTTGCCGTGGCTCTCCACTCTGCTGTGAACCACCTGGAGCAGCAGCAGAGCTACGTCCGGATGCTCTTTGTGGATTACAGCTCGGCCTTTAACACCATCCTCCCGGACAGACTCATCATCAAACTGGGCTCCCTTGGACTCCCCCCTCTCACGTGTGCCTGGATTAACAACTTCCTGACCGACCGACCCCAGGCTGTGAGAGTTGGCCCCCACCTCTCCTCCACCCGCACGCTGAGCATCGGCTCCCCACAGGGCTGTGTGCTGAGCCCCCTCCTCTTCTGCCTCTACACCCACGATTGCAGACCGATCCACAACCACAACCAGATCATCAAGTACGCCGACGATACCGCTGTGGTCGGTCTCATCTCCAGGGGCGACGAGGCCGCCTACAGAGAGGAGGTCCTGAAGCTGGCTGATTGGTGCTCAGAGAACAATCTGACTCTGAACACCAAGAAAACCAACGAGCTCATCATAGACTTCAGGAGGCACAGCCCTGAGCCAGCTCCCCTCTTCATCAACGGCGAGCAGGTGGAGAGGGTTCACAGCGTCAAATACCTCGGCGTCCACATCTCTGACCGCATCACCTGGTCAGAGAACATCACCACCATCATCAAGAAGGCCCGGCAAAGGTTACACTTCCTGAGAATCCTCAGAAGGTATAACCTCAACTCCGATCTGCTGCTGGCCTTCTACCGCTCCTCCATCGAGAGCTTGCTGACCTACTGCATCATAGTATGGTTCGGCAGCTCCACCGCTGCCGACAGGGAGAGGCTGCAGAGGGTGATAAAGGCGGCGCAGAGGATTATCGGTCGCCCTCTCCCCTCCCTGGCAGACATTTACTCCACCCGGGGACTCAGCAGACCCAGGGCCATCTCCAAGGACAGCTCCCACCCTGGCTCCACCCTGTTTGACCTGTTGCCCTCTGGAAGGCGCTACAGGCAAATGAGGATCAGGACAAACAGACTCAAGAACAGTTTCTTCCCCCGAGCCATTGCCGCCCTCAACTCCGACCTGCACTGACGGACACTTTTCACCTGGTTTGCATTATTCCCCAAGCCATTGCCCCCCCTCAACTCCGACCTGCACTGTCGGTCACTTTACACCTGTTTTGCACTACCCCCCCCCCCCACAATCTGTGCCAGTACTGTTTTACATTTCCTTTTCACTGTTTACATTTCCTTTTCACTGTTTACATTTCCTTTTAATATATTTATATATATTTTTTGTAACTGTTTACATTTCCTTTCCTTTTAATATATCTATATATTTTTTATATATTTTTATTTTATTTTTATTTCACGGTAGCTGTTATGGAAGTCCCAAATCTCATTGTATTTGTCACAGAATATAATGACAATAAAGGCTTTTTGACTTTTGACTTTGACTTTGACAGTAATGACCGGGTCGGTACCATCGTTAGGTACCGGGTTCAACCGCAGTAATGACCGGGTCGGTACCACCGTTAGGCACCGGGTTCAACCGCAGTGATGACCGGGTCGGTACCATCGTTAGGTACCGGGTTCAACCGCAGTAATGACCGGGTCGGTATCATCGTTAGGTACCGGGCCTGAAAACACGAGGATCTGGTTCTTCAGGAAGGAATCTTCTAAGGAGGTTAATTAGTGGGCGAACTGCTGGGGGAAACATCAGAACCACAGCTATACTGGCACAAAATAACACGACGGATTCATCCCCATTAAGACCCTCCTGGACTTCAGGAAGAGGAGCAGGTCCTACCTGAGGACTGTGCAGGTCAGTGGTCAGCATGATGATGGAATATGCCAGAACATAAGCAGTGTCTGCGCTGGCAAACAGGGTTTGCCTGGAAAGAACAAACATGGTTCATGGTTGGAGCATCAAGTCCCACCGTCCCCTCCCCCCAGACTTCACCAGTTCTCCTACCCTTGGTTACATTCCAGGTAGCGTGCAGCAAACTTCTCCATGAGCCTGTCGATCTTCTGGGCCTCCCCCGGCAGCCTGAAGCCTTCCAGGAAAATCCTCAGAGCGGAAACAAAGTCCCGCCCACAGAAGTCCAGCTGGTCCACGTAGCAGTACATCACCTCTTTGTTGAACTTGGTGTTCTCCCCCAGGAACTCGCCCACCTGCGTCTGTCAGGAGCACAGCGAGCCGTCAGCAGACCGACAGACACCCTTCAGGGCACGGTTCAGGTTGACGGAGCACTCACTGTGTCCAGTCGGTCCTCCTGGTGCAGGAACTGGGCGATGTCCTCCGCCGAGGATCCCAGCATGCCCTGGTCCTGCAGGTACTGGATCCCACGCTTGGGCTTCTTGTTGAACCTGCAGAGAAAATGATTGGATCCTCCTGTCCAGATGCATCACGTCTACAAAACTGTTCTGCATTTTTCTGAGTTTCAACCACAAACAACAATGTGACAGAGCAGCAGGGAGACGTTGATCAATTAGTCAGAACTAGTTGATACACTCAGCTGTAAAGGTTAACTTGAGGGTTTAACTGTTGTTCCATTACTGTTGCAAAGATCACATTTTGTAAATGGAACACTGGTTCCAGTAATGATTCTGCTGAGCAGTGTGATGAACCTCAGCGTCTGTCGTTGTTTCCTGCGTCTGGAAGCCCTGATTGGACGATCGCTTGTCGTACCCTTTTCCCAAAAGTCAAGTAAATTCACCAAAGGCTGCTTCCTTCGTCTGACTCTCTGCAAACTTCCTGAATGCTATGGGCGCCACTATGTAGATCGCCACTAGGAGGCGAGGAACCGTGCTAGCATGGCGTGTAAACGGTGGTAAGGAACTGAGCTCGGGACGGATTTTTCAGAGGGTAATGGAAATGGGGCAATGGCAGATAAACTCAGAGAAGCTCTGCTTTGAAAAATCAAATGTTTGATGAAACGTATTAAACTATGGAATGATACAGGAACTGGTTGAACTGGTCAGAGTGTTGCTCAGTAGCAGAGGGAGTGTGCTCACAGTTCGATGCCGTGCTCGATGATGTCCTTCTGCTGCTTGATCACCTCATACTGCTCTGGGTGGTCGGCCTGAGACGCCGCCATGCTGGAGTAGTTGGAGTCCAGCGAGCTGATGCTGTCTCGCCGTCCCGTCGTCTGCTCTGGGAGCTTCAGCTCTCCTCCCTCAGAGTCTGGTTGATGCTCCTGACCTGAAGACAAACACCCGACATAACTGGCGCGTTCCTCGCCCCCAGTATGCTGTCCTGGGATTTAAGGAGGACTCACCCAGGTTGGCCTGAAGGTTCGGATTCACGTACATGTCTTTGCTCCACTCCACCATACATTTGAGAATGGACACCAGACACTCCAGCCCCTTCTTACGTAGGCTCAGCTCCTGCAGGAAAACCAGAGATCCGGGTCACTCCCGCCTCTGGATGAGGACATCCGGTCCCAGGGAAAGAGGACAAGTACCTGCAGAGGAGTCATCCCCAGCTCCTGGCCGCTGCGGCCCTGAGCGATCTTAGACAGGTCGTTGACCAGACGCTCAAAGATGTTGGCGGCGTTCAGGTCGCAGTCATAGTTCACATATATGTCCACCACACACTGGGCATCTGAGGAGCAACGCAGAGGAGGACATGGTGACCCAATGGAACCAGGGCAGCAAACCTCCAGCTCCTTCTGGAGACAGATCTACTGACCCCCATCTCCCCAAAACCACCACACCCACCCCAACGGACCAGAACCTAACCTATCGACGCTGCTAACATCACCGACGACACTGCTAACATCAGCGACGACGCTGCTAACGTCACCGACGACGCTGCTAACGTCACCGACGACGCTGCTAACGTCAAAGACGACGCTGCTAACATCACCGACGACGCTGCTAACATCACCGACGACGCTGCTAACATCACAAATGACGCTGCTAACGTCAAAGACGACGCTGCTAACGTCAAAGACGACGCTGCTAACGTCAAAGACGACGCTGCTAACGTCACCGACGACGCTGCTAACGTCACCGACGACGCTGCTAACGTCAAAGACGACGCTGCTAACGTCAAAGACGACGCTGCTAACATCACCGACGACGCTGCTACCGTCACCAACGACGCTGCTAACGTCCCCGACGATGCTGCTAACATCCCCGACGACGCTAACGTCACCAACGACGCCGCTTACGTCACCAACGATGCCGCTTACGTCACCAACGATGCCGCTTACGTCACCAACGATGCCGCTTACGTCACCAACGATGCCGCTTACGTCACAACGCCAACATTACTAACAGCATTGCTAAGGTCGCTATTGACAAAGCTAAAATTACTATGGATTCTGCTAACGGCTCTAACAATGCTGCTGCCATTACCAACGACGTTGTTAACGCCACCAAAGACGCTGCCAACGTCGCCATCAATGCTTTTAACGTTGCTATAAATGCTGCTAATGTTGCTACAGACGCTACTAACCTCACTGCTAATGTTAGCAGGGTCGTTAGTGGTGTTAATAGCTAACTTCGGTCTCAAGGAAATTCTGCTTCCCTCTTACCAAACTGAAGCAGAGGAGCTGATGTGTTCATCCTAATCAGGAGGTGTTTGGTCAAGTTTTTACCTGCACAGATGCGGGTCAGGGTCTGAATAACCATCCACTTGTGCTCGAAGGAGCTGGTTGATGTCTCCAAGATGGTGAGAAAGATCTCCCGAAAAAAAACCTAAAATGGAAAAAGTAAAGAGTCAGCATGGACCACCAGGACCGAGCAGCATGGCTGCCAAACGAGGAGAGATGAGAAGGTCTTTGTACCTCAATCTGCATCTTCAGGTGGACCTTGAAGTGGGATAGCAGAGTTAGGAAGATAGCTAGCGAGAGCTCGAACACCTCAGGCACGGAGGAGACGCCGTTTTTAGACAAAGCCACACACAGGTACTGCTTGATGGCGTTTACAAACATCTCATGGGTACGAAAGACCGGGCCAGCCCCCTGCAGCACGGAGAGCAGCAGCTGCAGGGAGACGATTTTAGAGCGCAGCTCATGGGATCTGCAGACAAAAACACATTTTGCTTCAGCTAAAGAACCACACAGCAGGCTGACGGTACGGATCAGGAAATCTGTGACATATTGGGGGGGGTAGTTGTTCTACAGGCTGCTGTGAGGTCTGAGGTTACGGTAACCAGAACCACGTCTGGAAGGGAGACGGCAGCAAGAACAAAGAGGCTCAGAGCCGAGGTGAAGTGACTCCACGGTGGAAAAAAGAACCTGATAGCAAACAGACTCAGGAGTGCGTGAAAGGACGACCGATCACGGTTATCCACATGAGGGACCAGTCCGATCCTGGACGGCTCTAGCCCGTTTCATCTGGGTCAGTCCCCAGAACCACACTACTGCTAAGGCCAACAAACACACTCCTAAAGCACAAAGAGAAAAGCTGAGGTGGACTGGGAACACAGGTGGACTGTGAACACAGGTGGACTGGGAACACAGGTGGACTGGGAACACAGGTGGACTGTGAACACAGGTGGACTGGGAACACAGGTGGACTGGGAACAACAGAGTCAGGTTCTGGCTTCTAGACTTTGATTAGGCCAAATGACCCTCAGCCCAGTTTGAACTATTCTGGATCCTCAATCCAGTTCTCCTCCTGCGTCATTCTGTGTTTAGCTCAACCAACCGAATCTGACCCTGCTGAAGATCCCAAGACATCATGCTGCCACCCCCCTGTTCCCCACAGCATGACGCTGCCACCCCCCTGTTCCCCACAGCATGATTCTGCCACACCTGTTCCCCACAGCATGACGCTGCCACCCCCCTGTTCCCCACAGCATGATTCTGCCACACCTGTTCCCCACAGCATGACGCTGCCACCCCCCTGTTCCCCACAGCATGACGCTGCCACCCCCCTGTTCCCCACAGCATGATTCTGCCACACCTGTTCCCCACAGCATGACGCTGCCACCCCCCTGTTCCCCACAGCATGATTCTGCCACACCTGTTCCCCACAGCATGACGCTGCCACCCCCCTGTTCCCCACAGCATGATTCTGCCACACCTGTTCCCCACAGCATGACGCTGCCACCCCCCTGTTCCCCACAGCATGACGCTGCCACCCCCCTGTTCCCCACAGCATGATTCTGCCACACCTGTTCCCCACAGCATGACGCTGCCACCCCCCTGTTCCCCACAGCATGATTCTGCCACACCTGTTCCCCACAGCATGACGCTGCCACCCCCCTGTTCCCCAAAGCATGACGCTGCCACCCCCCTGTTCCCCACAGCATGATTCTGCCACACCTGTTCCCCACAGCATGACGCTGCCACACCTGTTCCCCACAGTATGACGCTGCCACCCCCCTGTTCCCCACAGCATGACGCTGCCACACCTGTTCCCCACAGTATGACGCTGCCACCCCCCTGTTCCCCACAGCATGATTCTGCCACACCTGTTCCCCACAGCATGACGCTGCCACACCTGTTCCCCACAGTATGACGCTGCCACACCTGTTCCCCACAGTATGACGCTGCCACCCCCCTGTTCCCCACAGCATGACGCTGCCACACCTGTTCCCCACAGTATGACGCTGCCACCCCCCTGTTCCCCACAGCATGATTCTGCCACACCTGTTCCCCACAGCATGACGCTGCCACACCTGTTCCCCACAGCATGATGCTGCCACCACCTTGTTCCCCACAGCATGATTCTGCCACACCTGTTCCCCACAGCATGACGCTGCCACCCCCCTGTTCCCCACAGCATGACGCTGCCACACCTGTTCCCCACAGCATGACGCTGCCACCCCCCTGTTCCCCACAGCATGATTCTGCCACACCTGTTCCCCACAGCATGATTCTGCCACACCTGTTCCCCACAGCATGATGCTGCCAGCCCCCTGTTCCCCACAGCATGACGCTGCCACCCCCCTGTTCCCCACAGCATGACGCTGCCACCCCCCTGTTCCCCACAGCATGATTCTGCCACACCTGTTCCCCACAGCATGACGCTGCCACACCTGTTCCCCACAGCATGATGCTGCCAGCCCCCTGTTCCCCACAGCATGACGCTGCCACACCTGTTCCCCACAGCATGATTCTGCCACACCTGTTCCCCACAGCATGACGCTGCCACCACCTTGTTCCCCACAGCATGATTCTGCCACACCTGTTCCCCACAGCATGACGCTGCCACACCTGTTCCCCACAGCATGATGCTGCCACCACCTTGTTCCCCACAGCATGATTCTGCCACACCTGTTCCCCACAGCATGACGCTGCCACCCCCCTGTTCCCCACAGCATGACGCTGCCACACCTGTTCCCCACAGCATGATGCTGCCACCCCCCTGTTCCCCACAGCATGACGCTGCCACCCCCCTGTTCCCCACAGCATGATTCTGTCACACCTGTTCCCCACAGCATGACGCTGCCACACCTGTTCCCCACAGCATGATGCTGCCACCCCCCTGTTCCCCACAGCATGATTCTGCCACACCTGTTCCCCACAGCATGACGCTGCCACACCTGTTCCCCACAGCATGATGCTGCCAGCCCCCTGTTCCCCACAGCATGATGCTGCCACCACCTTGTTCCCCACAGCATGATTCTGCCACACCTGTTCCCCACAGCATGACGCTGCCACCCCCCTGTTCCCCACAGCATGACGCTGCCACACCTGTTCCCCACAGCATGATGCTGCCAGCCCCCTGTTCCCCACAGCATGATGCTGCCAGCCACCTGTTCCCCACAGCATGATGCTGCCAGCCCCCTGTTCCCCACAGCATGATTCTGCCACACCTGTTCCCCACAGCATGATGCTGCCACCACCTTGTTCCCCACAGCATGACGCTGCCACACCTGTTCCCCACAGCATGACGCTGCCACACCTGTTCCCCACAGCATGATGCTGCCAGCCCCCTGTTCCCCACAGCATGATGCTGCCAGCCCCCTGTTCCCCACAGCATGACGCTGCCACACCTGTTCCCCACAGCATGATTCTGCCACACCTGTTCCCCACAGCATGACGCTGCCACCACCTTGTTCCCCACAGCATGATTCTGCCACACCTGTTCCCCACAGCATGACGCTGCCACACCTGTTCCCCACAGCATGATGCTGCCACCCCCCTGTTCCCCACAGCATGATGCTGCCACCACCTTGTTCCCCACAGCATGACGCTGCCACACCTGTTCCCCACAGCATGATGCTGCCACCCCCCTGTTCCCCACAGCATGATGCTGCCAGCCACCTGTTCCCCACAGCATGACGCTGCCACACCTGTTCCCCACAGCATGATGCTGCCACCCCCCTGTTCCCCACAGCATGACGCTGCCACCCCCCTGTTCCCCACAGCATGACGCTGCCACACCTGTTCCCCACAGCATGACGCTGCCACCCCCCTGTTCCCCACAGCATGATTCTGCCACACCTGTTCCCCACAGCATGATGCTGCCACCACCTTGTTCCCCACAGCATGATTCTGCCACACCTGTTCCCCACAGCATGATGCTGCCACACCTGTTCCCCACAGCATGATTCTGCCACACCTGTTCCCCACAGCATGATGCTGCCACACCTGTTCCCCACAGCATGACGCTGCCACACCTGTTCCCCACAGCATGACGCTGCCACACCTGTTCCCCACAGCATGACGCTGCCACCCCCCTGTTCCCCACAGCATGATTCTGCCACACCTGTTCCCCACAGCATGATGCTGCCACCACCTTGTTCCCCACAGCATGATTCTGCCACACCTGTTCCCCACAGCATGATGCTGCCACACCCTGTTCCCCACAGCATGATTCTGCCACACCTGTTCCCCACAGCATGACGCTGCCACACCTGTTCCCACAGCATGACGCTGCCACACCTGTTCCCCACAGCATGACGCTGCCACACCTGTTCCCCACAGCATGACGCTGCCACCCCCTGTTCCCCACAGCATGATTCTGCCACACCTGTTCCCCACAGCATGATGCTGCCACACCTGTTCCCCACAGCATGATTCTGCCACACCTGTTCCCCACAGCATGATGCTGCCACACCCTGTTCCCCACAGCATGATGCTGCCACACCTGTTCCCCACAGCATGATTCTGCCACACCTGTTCCCCACAGCATGACGCTGCCACCACCTTGTTCCCCACAGCATGACGCTGCCACACCTGTTCCCCACAGCATGATGCTGCCACCCCTGTTCCCCACAGCATGATGCTGCCACACCTGTTCCCCACAGCATGATGCTGCCACCACCTTGTTCCCCACAGCATGATTCTGCCACACCTGTTCCCCACAGCATGACGCTGCCACACCTGTTCCCCACAGCATGACGCTGCCACACCTGTTCCCCACAGCATGACGCTGCCACCCCCTGTTCCCCACAGCATGATTCTGCCACACCTGTTCCCCACAGCATGATGCTGCCACCACCTTGTTCCCCACAGCATGATTCTGCCACACCTGTTCCCCACAGCATGATGCTGCCACACCTGTTCCCCACAGCATGATGCTGCCACCACCTTGTTCCCCACAGCATGATTCTGCCACACCTGTTCCCCACAGCATGACGCTGCCACACCTGTTCCCCACAGCATGATGCTGCCAGCCCCTGTTCCCCACAGCATGAGCTGCCACCACCTGTTCCCCACAGCATGACGCTGCCACCCCCTGTTCCCCACAGCATGATTCTGCCACACCTGTTCCCCACAGCATGACGCTGCCACACCTTGTTCCCCACAGCATGATTCTGCCACACCTGTTCCCCACAGCATGATGCTGCCACACCTGTTCCCCACAGCATGATTCTGCCACACCTGTTCCCCACAGCATGACGCTGCCACCCCCCTGTTCCCCACAGCATGACGCTGCCACACCTGTTCCCCACAGCATGATGCTGCCACCACCTTGTTCCCCACAGCATGATTCTGCCACACCTGTTCCCCACAGCATGATGCTGCCACACCTGTTCCCCACAGCATGATTCTGCCACACCTGTTCCCCACAGCATGATTCTGCCAGCACCTTGTTCCCCACAGCATGACGCTGCCACACCTGTTCCCCACAGCATGATTCTGCCACACCTGTTCCCCACAGCATGACGCTGCCACACCTGTTCCCCACAGCATGATTCTGCCACACCTGTTCCCCACAGCATGATTCTGCCACCCCCCTGTTCCCCACAGCATGATTCTGCCACACCTGTTCCCCACAGCATGATGCTGCCAGCACCTTGTTCCCCACAGCATGACGCTGCCACACCTGTTCCCCACAGCATGACGCTGCCACACCTGTTCCCCACAGCATGATGCTGCCACCACCTTGTTCCCCACAGCATGATTCTGCCACACCTGTTCCCCACAGCATGATGCTGCCACACCTGTTCCCCACAGCATGACGCTGCCACACCTGTTCCCCACAGCATGACGCTGCCACACCTGTTCCCCACAGCATGACGCTGCCACACCTGTTCCCCACAGCATGATGCTGCCAGCACCTTGTTCCCCACAGCATGACGCTGCCACACCTGTTCCCCACAGCATGACGCTGCCACACCTGTTCCCCACAGCATGATGCTGCCACACCTGTTCCCCACAGCATGATTCTGCCACACCTGTTCCCCACAGCATGATGCTGCCACACCTGTTCCCCACAGCATGACGCTGCCACACCTGTTCCCCACAGCATGACGCTGCCACACCTGTTCCCCACAGCATGACGCTGCCACACCTGTTCCCCACAGCATGACGCTGCCACCCCCCTGTTCCCCACAGCATGATTCTGCCACACCTGTTCCCCACAGCATGATGCTGCCACCACCTTGTTCCCCACAGCATGATTCTGCCACACCTGTTCCCCACAGCATGATGCTGCCACACCTGTTCCCCACAGCATGATGCTGCCACCACCTTGTTCCCCACAGCATGATTCTGCCACACCTGTTCCCCACAGCATGACGCTGCCACACCTGTTCCCCACAGCATGATGCTGCCAGCCCCCTGTTCCCCACAGCATGATGCTGCCACCCCCCTGTTCCCCACAGCATGACGCTGCCACCCCCCTGTTCCCCACAGCATGATTCTGCCACACCTGTTCCCCACAGCATGACGCTGCCACACCTGTTCCCCACAGCATGATGCTGCCAGCCCCCTGTTCCCCACAGCATGACGCTGCCACACCTGTTCCCCACAGCATGATTCTGCCACACCTGTTCCCCACAGCATGACGCTGCCACCACCTTGTTCCCCACAGCATGATTCTGCCACACCTGTTCCCCACAGCATGACGCTGCCACACCTGTTCCCCACAGCATGATGCTGCCACACCTGTTCCCCACAGCATGATTCTGCCACACCTGTTCCCCACAGCATGACGCTGCCACACCTGTTCCCCACAGCATGACGCTGCCACACCTGTTCCCCACAGCATGACGCTGCCACCCCCCCTGTTCCCCACAGCATGATTCTGCCACACCTGTTCCCCACAGCATGATGCTGCCACCACCTTGTTCCCCACAGCATGATTCTGCCACACCTGTTCCCCACAGCATGATGCTGCCACACCTGTTCCCCACAGCATGATGCTGCCACCACCTTGTTCCCCACAGCATGATTCTGCCACACCTGTTCCCCACAGCATGACGCTGCCACACCTGTTCCCCACAGCATGATGCTGCCAGCCCCCTGTTCCCCACAGCATGATGCTGCCACCACCTTGTTCCCCACAGCATGACGTTGCCACCACCTTGTTCCCCACAGCACGCCGTTCCCAGCCCCCTTTTTCCAGGTTGGCCAGAAAACCCCCCCCTTAATGGGTTAAAGCAAACGGGATAGGAAAGGAGCTGCTTCCTTCCCCAAAGGCTGAACTAACTATCTAATCCCAGCTGGATTACAGAGCAGCTGGGATTATCCTGAGATTATAGACATGCAGGTTTCACTAGCTGGGTCACTGCAAGGCTGACTTATATCTAATTCAAGTCAGAATGATAGAAATTTAATGAAAAAAATCTTGGATGTTTTCTTTCATCCCAGTTCAACATTAAACTCTTCTTCAAGTTGCTTCATCACATTTAACCCTAAACCATTGATTTGTGTCAGTAAAACGATACAAAGATTGATTAATGTCTAACAGGTAAAGCATCGTCCAACTAAAATGATGTGATGGGAAGAGAAATGACAAATACACACTTGTGGTCAGGAGGTCCATCGGCCAGTGGCTTCATGGAGAGTTTGCACAGAGAGCGGAACACCAGAAAGGCATCTTTCTGCAGGATGTGAGAGAAGCGAGCTGCATTGTTGGGTCCCTGCAGAGCCTCAGCATCCTGAGACAAAGAAACAGCATCCATCTGATTTTAGGGAACAAACCTGGACTAGGAAAGCTCCTACATTAACAGATTTAAAGGGGAACACCGTTTCTTTACATTGGTCCCTTGATTTTCCGTTATTCCATCATGTTCCCATATGAGTTTAGTGTCATTTGGAGCCGTTCTGAAGATATTCCATTGGCCTCCATGTTCTGAATGCTGGCGTACCATAAAGAATAAATGATGAACAGTTTAGTTTGTGCCTTCAAGTCGTTGCCCATAGGAAGACGTTACTGGATATAACCTAACGGAATATCTTCAGAACGGCTCCAAATGACACTAAACTCATATGGGAGAGTAGAACATGATGGAATAACGGAAAATCAAGGGACCAATGTAAAGAACAGCGTTCCCCTTTAACTAAAGATCTGTCTCTACTGAAAATAGTCTCAGTTTAAGCTGAGCTTCTTACATAGTATTTCCTTTTCCTTCTTTAGAAATAATATTTTACAATAAAACTAACAGCCTAAACTAAATTAATTTTCTGAATGAAAACCAAGCAGTTTTCCCACCAGGATGTCAGCAGAGGAAATGGAGGAGCGGTCCTCAATGATGCCGTTCATCTGCTGAGCCTCGGTTCTGCCTCTAGGGGGAGCTACCTCCGTCTGATCAGAAGCAGAGGAACCTGGGCGATCAACACCTGAAACAGAGACATCCTCTAATCCCCTCATCTACTAACAGTAAACACTTGAGGAGAAACACTGAAGGTAAGCCGAACCTTCTCCACCGTGGGTCTCCGGCTCTCCCTCGCCCTCCGCCAACTCTTCCAGGTTTGAGCCGGTGCCTTCCTCCGCTGCTATGGGATGCTTCTCTACAGCTTCATCCTCAAACACTGAATCTGATCAAAGTTAGTTTCATCAGAAGTGCCCACTCCACATGTCTAATCTCACATTTTTATTTCAAACCTCCTATCAGACTAACCTCTAGACGGTGTGACCTGTTCAGAGCCTCCATCTTCAGGTTCTCCATTAACAGAGTGCGTGTCCTGGTCCAACTCAGCGCCTGGCGGTGGGGCTGTAGAGCGAGCGGCGTCGCTGCTGATGGTGAGGTCTGGAGTTCTGACTCTAGGGGATGGAGAGCTCTGAGGCTCTGGGGTAGGAGTCCTCCTTCCGCCTGGGTTCGGGGACGGGTTCTGATGGGGCAGACGTAGCTGCTGCTTCTCCTGCTCCTGGGCCTCCAGGGCCTGTGGACACCAGAGGAGGATTATAAGAGGAGTGTGGCATCACCACAAACCGATCGTGGATGGAACCTGGTTGGATCTAACTAGGATCTGATCTGTAACCCTCCTGGATCTGACCCGTAACCCTCCTGGACATGACCCGTAACCCTCCTGGACATGACCCGTAACCCTCCTGGATCTCAGCCGTAACCCTCCTCGATCTGACCCGTAACCCTCCTGGATCTAACCCGTAACCCTCCTGGATCTAACCCGTAACCCTCCTGGATCTAACCCGTAACCCTCCTGTAACTGACCTGTAACCATCCAGGATCTGACCTGTAACCATCCAGGATCTGACCTGTAACCCTCCTTGATCCGACCTTAGCCCTCCTGTAACTGACCCGTTACCCTCCTGGATCCGACCTGTAACCCTCCTGGATCCGACCTTAACGCTCCTGGATCCGACCTTAACCCTCCTGGACATGACCCGTAACCCTCCTGGACATGACCCGTAACCCTCCTGGATCTCAGCCGTAACCCTCCTCGATCTGACCCGTAACCCTCCTGGATCTAACCCGTAACCCTCCTGTAACTGACCTGTAACCATCCAGGATCTGACCTGTAACCATCCAGGATCTGACCTGTAACCCTCCTTGATCCGACCTTAGCCCTCCTGTAACTGACCCGTTACCCTCCTGGATCCGACCTGTAACCCTCCTGGATCCGACCTTAACGCTCCTGGATCCGACCTTAACCCTCCTGTAACTGACCCGTAACCCTCCTGGATCTGACCCGTAACCCTCCTGGATCCGACTGGTAACCCTCCTGGATCCGACTGGTAACCCTCCTGGATCTGACCTGTAACCCTCCAGGATCCGACCTTAACCCTCCTGGATCTGACCCGTAACCCTCCTGGATCTGACCTGTAACCCTCCTGTAACTGACCTGTAACCCTCCTGGATCCGACCTCAACCCTCCTGGATCCGACCTTAACCCTCCTGGATCTGACCTGTAACCATCCTGGACCTGACCTGTAACCCTCCTGGATCTGACCTGTAACCATCCAGGATCTGACCTGTAACCATCCAGCATCTGACCCGTAACCCTCCTGTAACTGACCTGTAACCATCCAGGATCTGACCTGTAACCCTCCTGGATCTGACCTGTAACCATCCTGGACCTGACCTGTAACCCTCCTGGATCTGACCTGTAACCATCCAGGATCTGACCTGTAACCCTCCTGGACCTGACCTGTAACCATCCAGCATCTGACCCGTAACCCTCCTGTAACTGACCTGTAACCATCCAGGATCTGACCTGTAACCCTCCTGTAACTGACCTGTAACCATCCAGGATCTGACCTGTAACCCTCCTGGATCTGACCTGTAACCATCCTGGACCTGACCTGTAACCCTCCTGGACCTGACCTGTAACCATCCAGCATCTGACCCGTAACCCTCCTGTAACTGACCTGTAACCATCCAGGATCTGACCTGTAAACCCTCCTGGATCTGACCTGTAACCATCCTGGACCTGACCTGTTACCCTCCTGGATCTGACCCGTAACCCTCCTGGACCTGACCCGTAACCCTCCTGGATCTGACCTTAACCCTCCTGGATCTGACTGGTAACCCTCCTGGATCTGACCTGTAACCCTCCTGGATCTGACCTGTAACCCTCCTGTAACTGACCTGTAACCCTCCTGGATCCGACCTTAACCCTCCTGGATCTGACCCGTAACCCTCCTGGATCTGACCTGTAACCCTCCTGTAACTGACCCGTAACCCTCCTGTAACTGACCTTAACCCTCCTGGATCTGACCTGTAACCCTCCTGGATCTGACCTGTAACCCTCCTGTAACTGACCTGTAACCCTCCTGGATCCGACCTTAACCCTCCTGGATCTGACCCGTAACCCTCCTGGATCTGACCTGTAACCCTCCTGTAACTGACCTGTAACCCTCCTGGATCCGACCTTAACCCTCCTGGATCCGACCTTAACCCTCCTGGATCTGACCTGTAACCCTCCTGGATCTGACCTGTAACCCTCCTGGATCCGACCTTAACCCTCCTGGATCTGACCCGTAACCCTCCTGGATCCGACCTTAACCCTCCTGGATCTGACCTGTAACCCTCCTGGATCCGACCTGTAACCCTCCTGGATCTGACCTGTAACCCTCCAGGATCTGACCTGTAACCCTCCTGGATCTGACCCGTAACCCTCCTGGATCTGACCCGTAACCCTCCTGGATCCGACCATAACCCTCCTGGATCCGACCTTAACCCTCCTGGATCCGACCTTAACCCTCCTGGATCTGACCCGTAACCCTCCTGGATCCGACCTTAACCCTCCTGGATCTGACCTGTAACCCTCCTGGATCCGACCTGTAACCCTCCTGGATCTGACCCGTAACCCTCCTGGATCTGACCTGTAACCCTCCTGGATCTGACCCGTAACCCTCCTGGATCCGACCTTAACCCTCCTGGATCTGACCTGTAACCCTCCTGGATCCGACCTGTAACCCTCCTGGATCTGACCTTAACCCTCCTGGATCTGACCTGTAACCCTCCTGGATCCGACCTGTAACCCTCCTGGATCTGACCTGTAACCCTCCTGGATCCGACCTGTAACCCTCCTGGATCTGACCCGTAACCCTCCTGGATCTGACCTGTAACCCTCCTGGATCTGACCCGTAACCCTCCTGGATCCGACCTGTAACCCTCCTGGATCTGACCCGTAACCCTCCTGGATCTGACCTGTAACCCTCCTGGATCCGACCTGTAACCCTCCTGGATCTGACCTTAACCCTCCTGGATCTGACCTGTAACCCTCCTGGATCCGACCTGTAACCCTCCTGGATCTGACCCGTAACCCTCCTGGATCTGACCTGTAACCCTCCTGGATCTGACCCGTAACCCTCCTGGATCCGACCTGTAACTGACCCACTGATCACCCCACTGCAGCCAATGGAGGCGTAATGACTCCTGTACCAGATACTGAGAGACCATCTGAGGTTATTTTAGGGTCGTCTGAATGAATAATGAGTCCAGAGCCAATCATCTTCGTTACAGTGAGGAGTTGCACTAACAGCCTGGGTCTCCATGCGCGTGAAGATGACATTGAGCATCTGAGTGAGGGTGGCCTTGGCTGTGGTCTGGTTGATGAGGTTGCGGCTGGCCAGGTAGATGTTGTAACAGGTCCTGACGGTGAGCAGCACCGTGCCCTCGTGGATCTCTATGTGCGGGGAGGTCACTGCTGTCAGCAGAGCCTGGACAGACGCCACAGGAAGAAAACGTTAGCAGACAGGATGTGTTCAGAGCACGCTGCCCTGCTGAGTCACCGCTCCACTTCCCCTTCAGCTTCACTACTGCATCAGTTCACCGCTATATGGTGGATCTACTCTCAGGTCTGCATCTAACATAAACAGAGAAGACTGCAGAACATCAGCATCCAGTTCTAACAATCAGGTTGGTTGCAGAGCCAAGGACGGCCTGAATGATCTCCACAGATCCTCAGATAGATGATGGAGAGGTTCAGGCTGCACCAGTTTATCAGAAACACGCCTGCTTTCAGACAAAGAGCTAAACAGCAGCAGCCATGTCTGATTGATCCGTGCAGCATCAAAAGCTTCCTCTGACCAAAAGCTTCCAGGTTCTGTTAAAGAGAACATCTCCCAGGGAACCTTCCCCGGACATAGAAGCAGCTGCTCCTACCTTGATGATCTGGAGCTGGACTCCCTCGTCCGTCTGTGGACCCTGGAAGCAGTTGCAGATGGTTTCCACCAGCCGGTCGATGAGCCTCTTACCCGGCGTTTTGCTGTCGGGGGCGTTGCCGGTGATGTGACCGTATGCTATCAGCTTCTACAGAGGGGAGGGCAGCAGAGGAAGATTCAGGGTCTGAGTTGCTGATGATCCCAGATCTGCAGTTTGACGCCGTGATCAATGTTTCATTCTAAAACCGCAGGTTAGGCCGCTGTCACAGCTCGCCATTTAGCCGACGTATTCCCACCGTCCCAGAATCTCCTAAACGCTGCTATACGCTTATTTTTCTGCGCCGCTGGTCTAAATCGTCAAGGTGTGAGAGGTGCTGTAGCTGAAACATGACGCACACCTAAGGTCATTTTAGAGTAACTAGTCCACCTAATGGTCGTGTCTCAGGAAGCCAGAGTATCCAGAGAGAACCCATGGCTGCACATGGAGAACATGCAGAACTCTAGCAGAAATAAACCAGTCTGGGAATCAAACCCACAACCTTCACGCTGCAAAGCAGCAGCACTACAGTCTGGCCAGCATGCAGGCTGTTCTACTGAAACAGATTCGCCTCCTTATTCCTCCGCTGACAGCGGAGGGCCATGGGTAAGACCAACGAGAGCAAACAGACGGCGCTCACTACATAGAGCAACACCAGAGAGAGGAAACCCACCTGCAGACAGTCCAACGAGGTGCTGACGATCCGGGGCGACTTGGACTGACACGCCAGCTCGAAGGGCAGCACATATTTATCAGCTTCCACGTAGTTGGCTTTGGGGGGAACGACGGTGCCGTCCCTGGAAGAGACACAGCTGCCTTTAAGCCTTTACACGGCAACTTAGTGTGTTTTAACAACTGCATTACGCATTACCAACCCCCCTCAGTGAGGTCTAGAAGCCATAGAGCAGAGATCCTGCTACATGGCTGCACATCTGATTTTAGCATTTGACCAATTAGATGAGACCTGAATGATAGATTACCTACTGGAAATTAAGCTGAAGAAAAAAGGTTGACAAGTCAAGAAAAAAGGTAAAAAGTAAAGTTAAACTAAAAAATATCAGTGCCACTATCAGCATTAATGCCTCTAAGGTGATGTTGCAGTTCAGAAAAGGCACTGGAGCTTATTTTAGCTTGAAAAGCAGCAGTTTCAATATTTTCTATAGATTTTTATTTTATTGTAGATTTATAAATGTTACACTTTGATATATACACAGTGATTCTGATAAAAGTGGGAAATACTTGCTGCGTAAATGTTCTGTGACCATCAGAATGCTTCAGTGTTATTCTATGGGTCAAACAGTCGAGTAAAAGAACTTAAATGGTCCATCAGTAGAGGTTATGAGACGCTGTGACACTAAAGCCCCACAGTGTGGAACCGTTACAGCTCTGGAACCGTTACAGGTCTGGACCCGTTACAGCTCTGGAACCGTCACAGCTCTGGAACCGTCACAGCTCTAGAACCGTTACAGCTCTGGAACCGTTACAGCTATGGAACCGTTACAGGTCTGAAACCGTTACAGCTCTGGAACCGTTACACCTCTGGAACCGTTACAGGTCTGAAACCGTTACAGGTCTGAAACCGTTACAGGTCTGAAACCGTTAAAGCCCTGGAACCGTCACAGCTCTGGAACCGTCACAGCTCTGGAACCGTTACAGATCTGGACCCGTTACAGCTCTGGAACCGTCACAGCTCTGGAACCGTCACAGCTCTAGAACCGTTACAGGTCTGGACCCGTTACAGCTCTGGAACCGTCACAGCTCTGGAACCGTCACAGCTCTAGAACCGTTACAGCTCTGGAACCGTTACAGGTCTGAAACCGTTACAGGTCTGAAACCGTTAAAGCCCTGGAACCGTCACAGCTCTGGAACCGTCACAGCTCTGGAACCGTTACAGATCTGGACCCGTTACAGGTCTGAAACGTTACAGGTCTGAAACCGTTACAGGTCTGAAACCGTTACAGGTCTGAAACCGTTACAGCTCTGGAACCGTTACAGGTCTGAAACCGTTACAGGTCTGAAACCGTTAAAGCCCTGGAACCGTCAAAGCTCTGGAACCGTCACAGCTCTGGAACCGTTACAGATCTGGACCCGTTACAGGTCTGAAACGTTACAGGTCTGAAACCGTTACAGGTCTGAAACCGTTACAGATCTGAAACCGTTACAGCCCTGGAACCGTCACAGCTCTGGAACCGTCACAGCTCTGGAACCGTTACAGATCTGGACCCGTTACAGATCTGGACCCGTTACAGGTCTGAAACCTTCTGCATGGACATGATGGAGATCAAATGGATGAGACATGACTATTCTCTATTCTCAAGCATGTCTTTATTACTGCTGTTCAAAAAAGACCTATTATTGTTGAAGAATAAAAAATAAACAGTTTAACTGCTGCAGCTGAGGCTGTTTTACTCAAACTATTTGTAATTAGAGCTCACAGTTCCTCAGTTATTTGCTTTTCCATTTGGGTACGCTAAAACAGGCGAGGATCACTTCAAAAAGAGGAGGTTGGTGTTAAAACATTAAGGAAAGAAAGGTTGAAAGCTAGTTGAAAAGTTACAGCCTAGTTAACAGTTACATGTAGGTGTATAAAGTAGAAACTGTCAGTGCCAGTATCAGCATTAATGCCTCTAAGGTTATATTGGACCAAAAAATTAAATGTGTTTCTTTCACTCAGAGAGTTTTTATTGAATTTCTTCTAGAAGCACTTTTGTTATTTTTCTAAATATGTTCGGGTAAGTTGGCGTTTCTTCTTATTACTGACATTAATGTTTTTCCATCAAAACATCCAGATTTTTTAATGTTCAAAGGTAATAAGGTCTGCTCCTATTGGCTGGAAATGTATTTGACTGAGGACCTTTAAAAGATATTAACCTGATATTACGCTGCTGCTTTTCAGATTATTGAGGTTTATGTTTCCAAGCTTATCAGACTTAATGTTTAACTAGTTTATCTTCAGCAGCAGGCGGTAACCTGCATCAGGCGGTAACCAGCAGCAGGCGGTAACCTGCATCAGGCGGTAACCAGCGGCAGGCGGTAACCAGCGGCAGGCGGTAACCTGCGGCAGGCGGTAACCTGCGGCAGGCGGTAACCTGCATCAGGCGGTAACCTGCATCAGGCGGTAACCTGCAGGCAGGCGGTAACCTGCAGGCAGGCGGTAACCTGCATCAGGCGGTAACCTGCATCAGGCGGTAACCTGCGGCAGGCGGTAACCTGCGGCAGGCGGTAACCTGCGGCAGGCGGTAACCTGCGGCAGGCGGTAACCTGCGTCAGGCGGTAACCAGCAGCAGGCGGTAACCAGCGGCAGGCGGTAACCAGCGGCAGGCGGTAACCAGCGGCAGGCGGTAACCTGCGTCAGGCGGTAACCTGCGTCAGGCGGTAACCTGCGTCAGGCGGCAACCTGCGGCAGGCGGCAACCTGCGGCAGGCGGCAACCTGCGGCAGGCGGCAACCTGCGGCAGGCGGTAACCTGCATCAGGCGGTAACCTGCGACAGGCGGTAACCTGCGGCAGGCGGTAACCTGCTGCAGGCGGTAACCTGCGGCAGGCGGTAACCTGCGGCAGGCGGTAACCTGCATCAGGCGGTAACCTGCATCAGGCGGTAACCTGCATCAGGCGGTAACCTGCATCAGGCGGTAACCTGCGGCAGGCGGTAACCTGCGGCAGGCGGTAACCTGCGGCAGGCGGTAACCTGCGGCAGGCGGTAACCTGCGACAGGCGGTAACCTGCGACAGGCGGTAACCTGCGGCAGGCGGTAACCTGCGGCAGGCGGTAACCTGCATCAGGCGGTAACCTGCGGCAGGCGGTAACCTGCGGCAGGCGGTAACCTGCGGCAGGCGGTAACCTGCATCAGGCGGTAACCTGCATCAGGCGGTAACCTGCATCAGGCGGTAACCTGCATCAGGCGGTAACCTGCGGCAGGCGGTAACCTGCGGCAGGCGGCAACCTGCGGCAGGCGGCAACCTGCGGCAGGCGGCAACCTGCGGCAGGCGGTAACCTGCGACAGGCGGTAACCTGCGGCAGGCGGTAACCTGCTGCAGGCGGTAACCTGCTGCAGGCGGTAACCTGCTGCAGGCGGTAACCTGCGGCAGGCGGTAACCTGCGGCAGGCGGTAACCTGCATCAGGCGGTAACCTGCGGCAGGCGGTAACCTGCATCAGGCGGTAACCTGCGGCAGGCGGTAACCTGCATCAGGCGGTAACCTGCATCAGGCGGTAACCTGCGGCAGGCGGTAACCTGCATCAGGCGGTAACCTGCGGCAGGCGGTAACCTGCGGCAGGCGGTAACCTGCATCAGGCGGTAACCTGCGGCAGGCGGTAACCTGCATCAGGCGGTAACCTGCGGCAGGCGGTAACCTGCGGCAGGCGGTAACCTGCGACAGGCGGTAACCTGCGACAGGCGGTAACCTGCTGCAGGCGGTAACCTGCGGCAGGCGGTAACCTGCATCAGGAGGTCCGGTAACCTGCTGCAGGCGGTAACCTGCGGCAGGCGGTAACCTGCATCAGGCGGTAACCTGCATCAGGCGGTAACCTGCAGCAGGCGGGTAACCCTGCTGCAAGGCGGTAACCTGCGGCAGGCGGTAACCTGCCGGTCAGGGGGCGGTAACCTGCGCATGGGTCAGGCGTTAACCTTGCGGCAGGCGGTAACCTGCGGCAGGCGGTAACCTGCTGCAGGCGGGGACCGGCAGGCGTAACCTGCGGCAGGGCGGTAACCTGCATCAGGCGGTAACCTGCAGGGCAGGCTGTAACCTTGCAGGCAGGCGGTAACCTGCATGCAGGCGGTAACCTGCGGCAGGCGGTAACCTGCTTGCAGGCGGGTAACCTGCGGCAGCGGTCAGCGGTAACCTGCAGGCAGGGCGGTAACCTGCGGCAGGGAGGTAACCTGCGGCTGGCGGTAACCTGCTGTGGCGGTAACCTGCGGCAGGCGGTAACCTGCTGCAGGCGGTAACCTGCTGGCAGGCGGTAACCTGCATCAGGCGGTAACCTGCTGAAGGCGGTAACCTCCATCAGGGCGGTAACCTGCATCAGGCGGTAACCTGCATCAGGCGGTAACCTGCATCAGGCGGTAACCTCCATCAGGCGGTAACCTGCGGCAGGCGGTAACCTGCGGCAGGCGGTAACCTGCATCAGGCGGTAACCTGCGGCAGGCGGTAACCTGCTGCAGGCGGTAACCTGCGGCAGGCGGTAACCTGCATCAGGCGGTAACCTGCGGCAGGCGGTAACCTGCGGCAGGCGGTAACCTCCATCAGGCGGTAACCTGCATCAGGCGGTAACCTGCATCAGGCGGTAACCTCCATCAGGCGGTAACCTGCGGCAGGCGGTAACCTGCTGCAGGCGGTAACCTGCATCAGGCGGTAACCTGCGGCAGGCGGTAACCTGCGGCAGGCGGTAACCTGCATCAGGCGGTAACCTGCGGCAGGCGGTAACCTGCATCAGGCGGTAACCTGCGGCAGGCGGTAACCTGCGGCAGGCGGTAACCTGCATCAGGCGGTAACCTGCTGCAGGCGGTAACCTGCATCAGGCGGTAACCTGCATCAGGCGGTAACCTGCGGCAGGCGGTAACCTGCGGCAGGCGGTAACCTGCATCAGGCGGTAACCTGCTGCAGGCGGTAACCTGCTGCAGGCGGTAACCTGCATCAGGCGGTAACCTGCGGCAGGCGGTAACCTGCGGCAGGCGGTAACCTGCATCAGGCGGTAACCTGCATCAGGCGGTAACCTGCTGCAGGCGGTAACCTGCTGCAGGCGGTAACCTGCAGGCCGTCTGCAGATACTGCAGTAAAGCAATGGCTGAGCTGCTACCGAGCGGCTTCAGGTCTCCTCGGCTCTGTGGCTGCTGCTCAGCAGGAAGCAAACATCTGCAGCGTGTCAGCAGGATACTTACTTCTGTCGTTCCAACTCCTCCTTGATTTCATCTGTAACAGAGAGACAGACAGAGATAAACAAATGAGAAGAATCATCTGAGGGTCATTTCCAGCCTGACAGCACGCCACGGTAGGAGCCCAGGATACCCGGCTTTTCTCTCCTCCCATCATCTCAGCTCATCAGCTCCTCTTCATTAAGGATCCAGGGTTAGGGAATCTTGGGGGGGTGGGGTGGGGTCATGGCCCCTTTGTCTTATAATGATATTTTAACTAGGGGTGAGCATTGGCATGGGTTTTGGATTTGAAAAGTTTCACGATCAGAGCATGCAAACGGAGCCGCCGCTCAAAGTTGCTCCTGGACAAAATCCGCTCACCTTAATTTTACTGCTTGCTAAAATTTTCAGCAGAAGACATTTTCTGACTTTTCCTTCCTGTAATGATGGCAGGGCGCCGGGACACAGATTAAAAGTGGTACGAACCGCTGTGTTCAGACCTTAATGTGTAAAGATGTGCAAAGCTCTATTAGCTGCAAAGCTGCTCTCTGCTCAGTGATTTATTTGGACAATATGGATGCTGCGCGTTCATTTTCCTGTGGGTTTGTTTAGGATTGACCATAAGACGTTTTTGGGCCTGTCAGTTCTCAGCCAGCCCTCAGTGCAGATCGGACCCAGCCAGCCCCATGAACCCACCGCATCCCCAGTATCTAATAGGCCAAACTGATGAGGATTCAGAGCACACTTCCTTCTGATGTCCCCCCCCCCCCCCCAGCTGAGGAAATCATTTTGTGCAACACACACCAGAAATGTCCCAATCACAGTGGGACAGCGTTCAGCAGCAACCAGGAAAGTGTGAGTCATGGCGTTCTGCTCTCAGAGTCTCTGATCCCCGCATGAAGTGATGAATGTTTTACGGCGCTCAACCTGATGAGGGTGCAGAGCTCTAGGATGTCACTGAGAGAAATGAACCGCTAACCTGAGCGCGAGCAGAGAGACACGCTGGCAGCACAGCAGGGTTCAGGGGGGGGAGAATGTGATGCCATTAAAACCTGTTAGCGTCGCCCCCACCTTTAGATTTAAAACAGTCCAACTATGGGACTTAGTTTACTGGAGCGGTTGGTCTGAGACTGGAAGAAAACTTTGATATGATCTGTTCATGCAAACCCGTCTGATGCGAACCATGAAAGATGACGAGGACTTTAAAAACTGCAAAGTCATGGAGGAAATGAAAGATGCAGTAACTGCTCTGCAAATAAAGACTAAGCTTTGAAAAACCAGAGAGAAAGAAAAGCAACAGGAACACTGCAAGACATGGTTTATCTAAATAAGTTTTATCTTGAACTGAGGAGGAAAGTGAGACACTTTCTGTTTGAGGAAAACTGAGGAGAGTCACTCCAAGGACGGCCCCCACAAAATACCTGGGCAGGTGTATAAGGAGTGGTCAGATCAGCTGGCTGGTGTCCTCACAGACATCTTTAACACCTGGCTGGACCGATCCATAGTGCCAGCATGCTTCCAGTCTGCCTCCATTATTCCAGTCCCAAAGACGCCTCAGGTCGCCTCCCTCAATGATTAGCGGCCTGTCGCTCTGACTCCCTAGCCTGGTGAGACCATCCTGATCTCGCGAGCTTTCAAGGTTTCACTCGCTAATCAGTCTGGAGACTCTCCGTTGAAGAAAATTTGGAGCCGTTCACCAAACGAACGTCCAATCAGCGTTGGCTTTGAGGCGGGTTGAGGTGTGACGCAACGAGAAGCGCGACAGTTCAGTCTAAAGAACATGGCGGCTTCAGCCGATGAAACTATTGGCTGCTAGACTTCCTCACCAACAGACCTGTCAGTCCGGGTCGGACCTCTGATGTCATCGGTCTAAGCCCCTCCCCTCAGGGCTGCGTCCTGAGCCCCCTGCCGTTCACCCTGATGACACACGACTGCGTCCCCAGGTTCACCACCGATCACATGGTGAGGTTTGCAGACGACACCACGGCGGTGGGCCTCATCAGAGACGACAACGATCTGGACTACAGAGAGGAGGTGGAGCAGCTGGTGGAGCAGAGATAACAGCCTGATCCTGAAGGTGGAGAAGACCAAGGAGATCATGGTGGACTTCAGGAAGAAGCGTCCTAACCACGCTCCACTGCTCATCAACAGCTCAGCTGTAGAGGTGGTCATTCATCACAGACACCCTCACCTGGACTGGAAACACCACCTCACTGGTCCAAAGGGCCCAGAAGCGCTTGGACTTCCTGCCCCCCCATCCTCCCCCCCATAGAGAGCGTTCTGAGCAGCTGTCTCACTGTGTGGTGTGGAGGCTGCAGCGCCTCAGACTGGAAGAAGGTGAGAACAGCAGAGAGGATCATGGGGGCTCCTCTTCCCTCCATTAAAGACATTTCATCCCAGCGCTGCGTGTCCCGCACCCGTGACATCATCAATGACCCCTCACCCCCCCACCATGGACTGTTCTCCCTGCTGCCCTCTGGGAAGAGGCTTCACAGCATTCAATGCAGGACCAGCAGGTTCTGCAGCAGCTTCTTCCCCACCGCCATCACACTGATCAACTGATGGATAAAATGGATTATTGTATTTATAAAAGATTATATTTTAGAACTGTAAATAAACAGTCATACATTTATATTACTTTTTTATGTATTTATCACTGTTTTTCATGGCTGCACTTAAAAAAAATGAAATTATCTAGAGTTGTTTTAAAAAAATTATTTTTGTTTAAACTCATTTTTACAAAATGAGAAAATAAATCTGTCTAAGTATAACTTTACCAATGGAACAAGACATTTTTAAATAAGAAAGTTTTATTTCAAGTGCATATCATCTAATTATCTTATTCTAAGAATAAAAAAATCTCATTCCATTGGCAAATCATCTTATGCACATAATCAAATTAAGGGTAAAAAAAACTTTATTTCTAGATGGTTTCTGCAGTGAACTGGCTTCACTAAAGGCACCGAGGATGATGACCTCCATAGTTCCAGTCTGAGGAACAGTGGGAGTGTTATCATGGTCGCTATAGTAACGGAAAGCATCTGATTTAAAAACAGCATCTCTATGCAGACGGTTAGATGAAGCTCTTCATCTAATTCCTCCAGAATGACAGTGGAGGACCTGAGGACCTCACAGCTCTAGTCAGAGCTCCACATCCACCCGTCTGCTTCTTTCCTTCAATTCTATTTCATATATTATATATATTCTATTTCTATTTCTTTCATCCGCGGCTACCGTTCATCCATCCTGTAGCTGAACTGCTGCTAGTTTTCCTCACATGCCTGGAAGATGTCTAGTGCTGCTACCACAGATGATCTGGCTCAGATGAACCATTCAGATGAGCTAGAATGAATAGAAGGGGTAGAGCGTAGCCGCCTGTGGCCCGGGCTGCCTGTCACTACTACAGTCCGCCGCGCGGATGACGTCATACACGCACCGCTTCGTTTTTAAAAGATATAAATATAAAAATCTAATGGCGGATGTCTGGGGGCTAGTGATTGGCCTCCATGTTCTGAATGCTGGCGTACCATAAAGAATAAATGATGAACAGTTTAGTTTGTGCCTTCAAGTCGTTGCCCATAGGAAGACGTTACTGGATATAACCTAACGGAATATCTTCAGAACGGCTCCAAATGACACTAAACTCATATGGGTGAGTAGAACATGATGGAATAACGGAAAATCAAGGGACCAATCGAAAAAACGGCGTTCCCCTTTAAGTATCAAATGTGTGAAGTTTTGACACCGCTGTCAGAGGCTAGTCTAGTCTTTTAGAAGCTGAAGCATCGTGGGTTTGATTCCAGCTTCCTGGTTTCACATCAGGCAGCTCCTGATGTACGGATGGATCAATGCAGCGCCTGGCTGGATCTACAGAAGCTGCTTTAGATTTTCTATATAGAAATAATCCCACACAGAGCTAACATGCAGCCCTGTAGCAAGTTTCCCCTCCAACATGCTGAAGATGTTGGAGGGGAAACAGAGCTGATCTAACATGCAGCCATGGTTCCACCACAATCCTGATGGACAGAAACCAGCTCACCAACACATCCACAGTCTGTCCGCCCATAGTGGTAACAGTGACTGAATCTTAATCCATTCAAACCTTTCTTATTGCTGCAGTGAGAAATCAGACAGAGATTCTCACAGATCCAAACATAAATCAACCAGAAAATAACCTGATGGAACCACTGGGAGATTTCTGACATCCAGTCATCTGTTCACATGACATTCACACTCAGACAGGCCCTGTGAAGGATTGAAAACCTCCCCACACCGCCCAGCTGCTTCAATAAAGGGGGTTTGGGCTCAGGGGCGGATCTAGCAAATGTGGGGCCCTAGGCAACTGCCTAGTATTGCCTAATGCTAAATCCCTCCCTGTTTGGGCTGAAACTGGGCAGAGAGCAGAGCTGCAATAGGAGTCATGAGTCTTTCTACTTTCATGATTATTTCAGTTTGTCAGGCGACTGAAAAGGATCTGATCCTGGGATGAACTCTGACAGGAAACAAACGGCAGGATGAGGCATAAGCATCAGAAATACTTTAATGATCCCAGGGGGGAAATATCTTTGTTACACACTCCAGGTATACAAACATTCATCATCTAATTCATTTCTATTCAGTTTATTTCTATAGCTCCAATTCACATCATGTCATCTCAGGTCACTTTCCAGTTCACCAGATCATCCAGTCAGATTGATTCAAAGTTTTCTATCTAAGGAAAACCAGCTGATTGCATCGACTCATTGACTCTTCAGCAATCCCTCACAGTAAAGGCTACAGCAGTTTGTCGCAGATATTTTTAATTTCTGCTCAATATTGAAGCATGGTCTGCGCTGTGTTATTCCACGCCACAGCGCCAGAGGGCCAATCAGGAACCAGCTGTGGGTCTAGATACGGCCAAGGAAAAACAACGGAGGGACATAAGGGCCAAACAGAGCGGAGATCCAGGTGGAAAAAGGCTCCTAGCGTTCTCACCTCGCTCTGCTAGCTGCTCCATCTTCACCAGTCGTTTTCCACAATGGCGGTCAGACAAACAAAACAAGCCGGTAAGGAACCAAACAGGAAATACGGATAGAGAACAGAGGATGTAGATCTGACCAATCAGAGGCCTCCTGTCTGTGGAGGGGGCGGGGCATATCTGCGTTAACTGCGACACATGCAGACCACCTGGTTTCTGAGTATAAATCAGCCTTAAGCATGCTTGTAGCGACAGTGGAGAGGAAAAACTCCCTTTGAACAGGAAGAAACCTCCAGCAGAACCAGGCTCAGTTTGAGCGGCCATCTGCTGAGGCCCACTGGGGTTCAAGGAGACAGAAGCAGACATAGAAAAAGAAGCATAGATACAAAAGGCAACTGTCAACCAGCTCCACAGGCGGCCCCGTCCAGGAAACACACAGCCAGGCAGACGAGCTCCGAGCCAGCTCCCATGCCAGAGGATGAAGAGAGCACATCCAGTTAGTCACAGTCAGAGAAACAGGACTACACTGGAAAACAGGCCAAGCTCCAACATCTAGAAACAAAGGTGTTGATGGCAGCAGCACAGCTGATATTTCTCTCCAGGATTTGAGAAATACAATACAGCTTTCCACAATAAATATTTATATATATATTATTTTTTTACAGATCTAAAATAATGTAATCATATCGATATGCAAAGGACAGAAACATAGTTAATAAATGTCAATAATTGTCAATCATTCTATTATAATCGAATCAATTATTGATATCTATTTATTCTTTTTTCTCTTTTGCACATTATTATTATTACTTTAGCTCTGTAATGAAGGAGGAGCTAATGAATGAGCAGCAGACACCGTGGGCTCAGCAGCCTGTCTGGCGTGGCGTGGGGAACATTATCCGCTCAGGTGGAAACAGGTTCCAACATCCGGGAGAGAGATCAGGACCAGGCTGGGTGACAGAGCTACGTTCAACGCTCTGATTGGTCCGTTGGGCTAAATTAGCCCCAACAGGCTAACAGGGGGATCATTAGATAGAAACAATGACGGCAGCTGGCAGTGATGACAGGGAGCAGAAACACCCACAGCTCGCGCGCCTCTTCCCCCCCAGTTCCCCCCCAGCAGCTCGCGGCTCTTCAGGCCGTTCAAACCGGACGGAGCTGAAGTTAGCTTCCGACCTGCCCTGGGATAAAGGAGCATTCCGCTGTTTTTATGCTCCTTAAACCATTTAATTAAAATTCACCCTTTATATAAAGTTTGCTTTAAATGACACGTTGATCCCAGAGTCTCCATCTTGATCAGCTCTATTTTCTATCATTTCTGGGCTGAACTGGATCGGAGGAGGAACCGATCAGGGAGCGGAGCCTGGATTCCCCAACAGCCACAACCCGGACCAGGCTGAGCCAGAACCGGGACCAAACTAAACCAGAACCGGGACCAAACTAAACCAGAACCGGACCTACCCAGCGCCACCTGGCAGGCTGTCCGCAGCTGGCTGTGCTGGCTCCTCTTCACCTCCTTGTCGGACAGGATTTTCTCCAGCGCCCTGGACAGAAACATGCTCTTGGTTCTGCTGTTCTCTGACCGCCGCTGCTCCTGCATCTCTCGCTCGGTAACCTCCGCTCTCCTCAGGCCGCCATGCTCCGCCTGGCGCCGGGGAAGCGAGCAGGAGCCGGGTTGTGGTTGTCCGTCCAGCAGGGCTGCTAGCTCAGCTGTAGCGCCGCCATGCTAGCTACACGTCACGTCACGTGACGAGGATGGTCAGCTAGGTGTGCCGCCCGAACCGATCCGGTACTTTAGCTTCATGTTTTCCCTGGAAAATAAAAACTCCTCCTTATTTGACTTCTTTCCTCTGTTTCTGTCACAATTTTATAACTTTTTAACATTGGGAAGGAAAATACATTAAAAGTCACATTTATAACTATCTTCATCATCATCATCATCATATGCTAAATTCAATAAACATAAGAAATGGGATTAGATTAAAGTAGCGCTGATGGGGGGGGGGGTTAACATTAGGCAATACTCCTGGTTCCTGGGGGCCCCATAAAACTCTGTTTCCATGTAATGTTAATACAGTTATTCCTTATTTGTGCACATTAATTATGTTTTTGATCAAAATCCTTTGGCTAAAATGCCATCAGAACGCTGATAATATTAAGTGTGTCTCAGCCCCCCCCTTCAGTGTCCACCATATTGGATCAGTCCATTTGCTGCACATGTTCAGAAAGGTCCAAACAGACAGCAGCAAACCATTTGAAAACAAACCATGCAAAGAGCAGTGTTGCCAACTTAGCGCTTTAGTCGCTATATTTAGCCACTTTTCAGACCCCTCTAGCACTTTGATTTCTAAAAAGCTCCTAGCGCCAAATCTAGAGACTTTTTTCTGCTACTGGAGACTTTGGAGACAACATCTAAAAGCAGCGAACTCTGCTCTCCAGAGCGAGTAGATTGGTAACCCCGCCTCCTGCTCTCCTCTATCTTGTCTGCTGTCATGATTCATGCAGCTATTATTTCATCCAAATGAAAAATGGAGAACAGATAAGCAGATCATGGCTTGTCTACAGTGAAAAGAAGGACTGGGTTATTTACTTTGGCCTTTTTGGAAACACAGGAAGGAGCAATCAGCTAAGTGAGCTTAGTGCTTGGAAAAAATCTTTCATTCCTTTAGAGACAGCATGAAAAGTCAGCTGAGTACAAAACATAGAGAGGAAAACAAGAAGAAAAGGGACAAGAAGAGAGGGACACAACCTAGAACAGAGAATGGATGTCTATTCTATTAACATTTCTACATCTGGAGAATGGGGCTGTTTGATGTGTTGTCTTCTCAGTTCAGAGGCCCCCTGCCTGTCTTTGCCCAGGGCCCCACATTTTGTAAATCTGCCCCTGATACTATGGAGGACCAACTCTGCCATATTTAAAAATAAATACAGAAATAAATAAATGCTCAACAAATAAATAAGCATACAATTAATTGCCACAGAAATACAGAAATGTAAAAAGGGAAGACAAAAATGAATAGCGGCGGAAAAATACAAAGGAAGAATAAAACAGACAAAAATATTTTAACATGCACATAAATAAATACTTAAAAATATAAGTAATTAAAAAATAAAATTGAAGATTATAAAGGACAAAAAAAGAAATAAGGTAAATATTACAAAGGAAAATAAATAAAGAAGCTAATTAAAGAGTTATATACATTCATGTCTCACTGTATAATTAAATTTATACTTAAATTTATTTGTTTATTGTATTTTGGTGGCAATTAATTGTATGCCTATTTATTTATTTAGCATTTATTTATTTCTGTATTTATTTTTAAATATGGCAGAGTTGGTCCTCCATAGAATTTGTTCCTTTAATAGGTTAGAGCAGTAAAACGTCCGGCCATAACATTTTTTCCTGCATTACTTTTACATTTGAAGTAGTTTTAAAAATGGTACTTTTACACTTTTAGTGGAGTAAAAAGCTGAAGTTGATCCTCTAACTTCTACAGAGGTGTTTATAAACAGCAGGATTTATACTTCTGCATGAGTAATAAACATGAATACTTCTACACCTCTGATTCCATCCCTCCCAGTATCTTCCACCCTGCTGTGAGAAGCTGGATTGTTTCTCTTTGCATCGTCTGCACCTCAGATCCTGCCTGCTGGTAGATCTGGGTCTATACTGGTCTGGTGCTCCAGGCCTGCTCCAGTGCTGCCGGGTATCAACTGCTTCAGCTATCTGTCGGTGATATATCCCATACAAGGATGTTCCTGTTCCTTCACTCACAGTGCAGTCTGTGGATCCTGGATGTGGGATGTCCAGCATGTATGGAGAGTAGGGTCCGTGTTTCTAACATCAGTGGCCTGAATCTCCTCCTTGGTCCAACGTGCTATCCCAGCAGGTCAGACAGAGACATAGAGAGCAGATGCAGGCCAGCTTCCTGCGTCCATCTTGTTGAAGTGATCAGTGACCCAGAGCTCCAGGAGAGCTCGGTCCAACCACTCATCATTCATTGGGTTAACCATAGACTTAGACAGAGTTTAACCTCATTTTATACACAGAGTGTAAATAAAAAGAAATTCTGTTCAGTACAGCCCTCAAGACATTTTCATTTTTAAAGAGCAGCAGTGATAAAAAGTAAACATAGGACTGGTATATGATTTATTTAGAGTTGTTGGGGGGGGGCAGGTGGGCTCTCCAGGGAGGATGTGGACAACAGAAGCTAAGAAGGAAGGGAACTCTGGGTAATGAAGGTGAAGAACAGCTGATGATGAACGGATCTCCAGAAACTGTTAGAACCAAGATCCAGTTCTTCTGCTCTGGTTGTCATTATGTTCGGTGAACCAGGGTTGGGTGGATTATTATTTAACTCCTTACTGACTGAAGACAATTTTCAGTCTTTTTGGGATGTTTTTTACAAACGCTCTTTTTATAGGAGCTGTGATATAAGAATCAAGCCAAAGACTTTTAAGTGTTTTAATCAGCGAAGCAAAGATGGCCGTTTATTGTCCCTCAGAGTCAGACTGCAGGAGGGAGAGATCACCTTGATGCTGTGGCTCAGTGGAAGATTAAAGCCTGAATAAGGCTGGAGTTTAACTTCCACTGAGACACAGAACATGGAGGATTTATTCATCTGATGAAGGAGAACTACAATTTAAAGCTCCTCATTTAATGATTTTCAGCTGACACTTGTTTTTACATAAATAGGGATTTTTAACTGACTTGTTAAAAGTCAAAAGTATTTAAATCCCTTCAGAAAGCTTCATGTTTGTGAGCGCCCCCTGGAGGTCAAAATGTGACAAAACACCCGCAGAGCTTCAGCCTCAAAACAACTAAAAGAAGAGAAATGGCTTCTGTTCAGGATTTTAATTCAAAAAGTTGCTGAGTGACCTCACTGCTCTGAAGCGTTTATCAGCAGATGAATGGATCAGAGCCGTTCTATAGGTTGACCACCAGATGGCGACAAACGCAGAACAGATTCCTCATTGTGAGAAAAGTTTGAGGTTCTCCTCTGTGTTGAAGTAGAGTTCTAGTTCTTAGAGCAGAAACTTCATGAGGGTACCCTCCTCTTCCTAATCAGGAGTTTTACAGCTTTTCATGGAAAATAAATGCTGGAGCTGAGGCAGCAGCAGGGGCGGATTTAAGAAATGTGGGGCCCTAGGCAAAGACAGGCAGGGGCCCCTCTGAACTGAGAACAAATAAAGCAGCCCCATTCTCCAGCTAGAGAAATGTTAATAGAATAGACATCCATTATCTGTTCTAGGTTGTGTCCCTCTCTTCTTGTCCCTTTTCTTCTTGTTTTCCTCTCTATGTTTTGTACTCAGCTGACTTTTCATGCTGTCTCTAAAGGAATAAACGATGAAAAAGATCAGGTCTTCTGTGTGATTTTTTGTAGTCTTTTTGAACCCAGTCGGCCTCAGCAGAAGGCTGCTGGACACAGCCTGGTTCTGCTGGAGGTGTGTTGGTTTGCTTTAGATTTAACAGCAGCTGGTTTTTCTTAGAAACTTTTAACCTTTAATCTGACGGGATGATCTGATTAAACTGGATCTATAATGTGACCTGAGATGATGTGTTGTTATAGAAACACTCAAACAGATTCATTCAACTTCTTGAAAGTTGACAGATGCTCTCCATCCAGTCTGAGCTTCATTGGTTTGGCAGAAATATCAGAGGCCCAAAAAAACTTTAGTTATTTTAGTTATTAGAAATGTTTTTTTCCTCCTGATGTTCGTCCGTCACAAACAATCCTACTAAAACAGAACAGATGCTGTAGATTGGAAGTATGAAGATGTATGCTTGACCCCGCCCCCATCCTAGGGGTGGGGTCAGAGGTCACAGCGCTAAAACCATGATCCCTATTTATTCCCCGGATTGCTGATTGCTCTTTGGCAGTACAGGGTTGAAGTGAAGCCACCGGCCGCCATATTGGTACTCCCTAGTTAGACCGGTCTCAATGTAAACAATCCGTATGCTACAGCATCGGACAACGATGATGTTCTCATTTTCAGCTAAAGACTTTTAAAATAAAGATAAATTAAACTCTGACACAGACTGGCTGTTTCACAGCATCATTAGATTAACTTTAACTTAGAATAAAATAAATCGGCCAATCACATTGCAGAGTCATTATGACGTCTATGAAGCCTAGAAAGCAGGTAATATAACATATTATACAATCCATCACAATAACATTAACGTGTTAATGGAGCAGAATAATACAGATGAGCCAAAAGTTGTTAAGGTAACTATATCTTACATGTCTGGTAATGCATGCAATATATATATATATATATTGTATTTTATATATATATATATATATATATATATATATATATATATATATATATATATATATATATATATATATATATATACACAGTGGTCTGCAAAAGTTTGGGCAACCTTGTTAATTTCCATGATTTTCCTTCATAAATCGTTGGTTCTTAGGATAAAAAATATATATATATATATCTTATATCAGACAAACACAGTGATATTTGAGAAGTGAAACGAAGTTTATACCATTTACAGGAAGTGTGCAATAATTGTTTAAACAAAATTAGGCATGTGCATAAATTTGGGCACCACAATAAAAAAAAATAACTCAATATTTAGTAGATCCCCATTTTGCAGAAATAACAGCTTCTAAACGCTTCCTATGAGAGTCTGGATTCTGGTTTCTGGTTGGAGGTATTTTGGACCATTCCTCTTTACAAAACACCTCTAATTCATTCAGGTTTGATGGTTTCCGAGCATGGACAG